TGCACCGTGTTTCCTCGAAAATAAGACCTAGCATAGCCCTGAATTTTAAAAATCATTTCAATATAAGCCCTCCCCTCAAAATAAGACCTAGTCAATAACACGAATTTTTTTTTTGATCTATTCGATAACAAGAAATCTCTCCTACACGTTTTAAATGATTGATAGTCTTTTCTTTTTGTTTTTCAGTTATTTTGACTAAAAACGTGTTATTTATAAGTAAATGAATATTGGTTTTTGTATATTTAAAAATCTCCTAATTCTCTACTTTGTAATTTTGTTTTTGATAAATTAAAATATAAGACATCCCCCGAAAATAAGTCCTAGTGTTATTTTTCGGAAGAAATTCGAAAAAAGACCCAGTCTTATTTTCGGGGAAACACGGTAATCTGTTACATTCATTTTATTTATTTCATTTGATATCGTATATTGGTTTTGCACGACACAAATAAACATCTAGATCTAAAGCTTTACAGAATTTATGTTTGAATCAAACCGTCATTTTCTTTATTCATGAAAAATCGATGCTCGGGGAAACAATAAGTCCATCTACAAGGCGACTGAAAACCAGAACCTCGTATTAAGGTTAATGACACAATAGTTAAAATAGAAAAAATTAGTTAGCTGTTAAAGGAAGTTTTATGCTTTCAAAAACAAATAACTGGCTGATTAATCTCATACCCGACATGGACTGGTAACAGGCCGTGGTTCTCAACATGTGTATTAAGCCGTCCTATCGGATCCTATCCTATCAACGTTATTCATAATGCACACAGCACGTTATATCACACTGATAAAAAAAACTGACAACCATTGTAGAAGAACTACGTGTTTGACTTCCCTGTAGGGTTTTGTTTTTATCAATTCTTAAAAAACATCGTGTTTTAAAACAAGGGCTTGTTTTAAATCCATTTTTTTATGTATTTTTTATTGTACCCTCTGTATCGCCACTAAACTGCGCCAAAACGTTGCGCTCGAACAGCTGTATACGCTGCCGGAATTATAATTTTAAAAATGTAAGTAAAAATTTTTGTTTTGACGTTTGACGTTCTATTGCGTACATTTATCGACAAGGTTGTATCTACACCAAAGGCAGCCTTCGGCAAAGCAAGTGCGTTACGATAATGAAGAATAAACTTACATCGGCGGCAATCTACTGCTATAAACGAGTAGACACCCTAGCCCAGTGTTTCTCAAACTGTGTGCCGCGGCACAATAGTGTGCTTCAAGAGATTCTCAAGTGTGCCGCGGAGCTTTTCGGAATTTTTGAAAATAAGCAATTGGTATTACACATAGGCATGCATGCAACGGGAAAGGTTGTAAGGCTTGAGTATCCAGTTGGAATTAGGCTGGTAATATTGTTGCATTTGCTTTATCCCTGTAATGAGGGTGATTGTCACGCTATAATGGCATTGTTATGTCATAATGTATCCACCATGTTGACTTGCGCACTTAGTTGGGCAAACAAAACAGCAAGTTTGGACGAGTTTTGGCTATCTGCCTATTCCATCATAGGTGCAAAATTATCAAAAATAATCTTGACATCTCTATGGCTCTGTGCACATTGATTTTCTGCCAGTCTGCTATGACTGTAATTAAAAGTAGAAAAGACAGCGGCGAAACCTCGTTTCAGTTGTTTTTCAAAACAGAAGCAGAATGATTTGTTTAAAGTAACTTTAATTTTTAAAGTGGGCCGCAAAACTTTTTTTTATTCGCTCAGTGTGCCGCGAGCAAAAAAAGTTTGAGAACCACTGCCCTAGCCTATGCTAATTGTAAAAGTCCTCTGATGCAAAGACGCTACAACTAATCTGTTATGACGCCACAATAAGGATTTCGAGTTTATGTATTGACATTTTCTCATAAAATAAGGGTATTATTGCGGTTAATACTGTTCGGTTAATTTATGCTTTGCATACTTAGATCAAAGTTATACAAACTGAAACCATATTTCAATTTTTGCAAGGTGGGTCGCTCACGTAATGGCTTATCGGTTACGTCCTACTGCGCAAACCACGTTTGCGGTCGCACTGAACTACAGCTTGAGAAGGTGTGTATGGGCCTTATCGATATTTGTGGCGTTTCGAAGGATTCATTGCAAATAAGAAGCGCCTTGCAAGTTTTTATATCCATTTTCTTCAACCTATTTAATACAAAAAATCAATAAGGGCAGCCATTTTGAACAAAACAGGCAGAATTTTTTTTTTTAAACATTTGATTTAAAACAATTCTCTTTGAACAAATCCCTACCCTCCTGAATCCCAGCCAAAATAGAGGATTCGTGTTAATCTAAATAAGCTCATATATATATTATATTAATATTGCATCGCTATTAAGCGAACAGCCCAGTTTTAACTAATTCTCATTGATAATTCAACGTGCTTTTGTTCTCTGTAGTCACGAATTTGTTACTTCTTTTCACAACTCGAGTCATAAGCCATTATTGGTAGGGTGACCATACGTCCTCCTTTTGGAGGATTTGTCCTCCTTTTTCGTTAAAAAATTTGCGTCCTCCAAGGACGCTCTGAAATGTCAACATGTCCTCCTTTTTTCACGGGATTAAATATTTAAAATTCTCTTACAATATCAAAAGTTTTTGATATGTCAAGAAAATTCCAAAGTCAGTAGAGACTTGTAATTATCATTATACACATGACAAGCAATGCATTGCGATGTGATAGCATGTAGCAATTGGGTTTCGCAATACGTTTTCGGCCATTTCACCTCGTATTTCGCAATTTATGAAAATTTGAATTTGGACAGAAAATTACGCCAATATACCCAGTTTTACGATATTGAAAAAAATAACCCTGCAATGTTGACGACGATTGAAGGACCTGCCAAATACTCATGGTCTAAGAGCAAATCAATCAATTGTCCTGCATATTTTTTAGTACAACAAAAATGCGTTATTTCATTGTCTTCACTTCGTCTATTGTCACTTCTATATTTAATTCTAGGGAATTTAGTAGATATATTATAATTTATATCTCATACACAGATGAAATGTGGTTCTACCTAACAATGTGTCCTCCTTTTAGGGTTTAGAAATATGGTCACCCTAATTATTGGCCTTGTTGAAATTTCATTCCTACGCTAAAACTGATGGAGATTATTGTTGTTTTTTCGGATAGTTCCCACAAAATCGGAAATTTTCGTTTGGTGTTTCGCGAAAAATTCATGATCTAAAAAGGGTTCGCGGGTTCGGGATGGTTGGGCAACACTGACTATATGATACGTCCTGTCAAGATAAATACGGAATCAGTCACTACCGTGTTTCCCCGAAATTAAGACCTAGCCTGGATTTTTAAAATGATTTTAATATAAGCCATCCCCTTAAAATAGGATCTGGTCGATAGCGCGATTTTTTTTACCTAGTCGATAGCAAGAAAATCTTTTCTATACGTTTTAAATGATTAATCTGAAACGTGTGAGAGGGAAAACGGTCCAATTACCTGAGGTAACGCGAAGATTACGCCACGATTCATATTCTGTATATTTGAAAATCGAAAATCTCGTAATTCTCTACTTTGTAATTTTATCTTTGTTGAATGAAAATATAAAAGACATCCCTCAAAGTGAGCCCTAGTGCTATTTTTTTCAAAAAAAAATTGAAAAAGGAATCTTTCTTATTTTCGGGGAAACACGTTAGTATATGTTTTCCATATACTGAAAATACAAATTATACATACAGAATGAAGAAAAATGGATTTGGGCGTGAAGGGAATCGCGAAAACCCAGTAACGATTATTGAGCATCGTCGCCCAAATATAAAAATTCAAATCTCGCATTGTATGGACCATATAATATTGCTAACGCTGTATGCGGGACATCAATGAAATGGGTTTGAATTTGGGGTACTCCCGAAGTATGTGTACCAAGATGACGGACACCGGAACGTAGTATGTGTACCCGGTTAGGCCATCATGTCAGGTACAAATACGACGGGAGTCACTTGGCTAGTCCCCGAACCCGTAATAGAACTAAAATAAGGAAAATTGGAATACAAACATGGCCTAATCCTAACCTGGTACACATACTGCGTTCCGGTGTCGGCCATCTTGGTTCACGTACTTCGGGTGTACCGAATTTGAACATGAAGCCACAAATTAGACCATGAATATTGACAGCCTTTCGTAATTTCATTACGGCCACAAGTTCCTTTGAGACGTTTATGTCATAGTCCGTTGGGAACTCCGCGCATCATCAGTTGCCAACTTTCAAAAACAGAGATTGACGGAACAAACATATTGAATCATCGCAGGCACGTTTATTTAATTAAATAAACACCAAGATAATATGTTAAAACGGTGCCGCGCGCTTCGTCTGAAAATGGTTTTGACACTCATAGAAAAATTGTGTTCGTCACCCATAACCAACGCCAATTAAATCTTCCAAATGCAATTTATGGCGAGAGATCGTTAGCATAGCTGACTGATAGCAAAAAATCGGCCGTGATTTCAGCTTTGACACCCCGTATATATGTTGTTGTTTTTTTATTATTATTTGTATCATCACGTTTTCTTGTTTGGCGAGAAAAATAAACCCTCTCTTTTCGATAAATTCAATACTCTGTAGGTGACCCTAGGAACTAAAACCCGAACCCAAAACTAGCAGCAGATCAAACCCAGAAGTTTAGTTACAATCACTAATGTACTACATTTACCAATCGGAATTGTATACCTACCCTCATCCCAATAAGAGTCAAAATTTAGCGCTCCAGAAGTATGTGTACCAATATGGAGGTAACTAATTCTGTTTGCCTATTTTACATCAGGTTGTGTAAAGGGACTAAAACCAGTGGGCAGGGGGTATATTCACTTGGCTAACACGGACAGTCCCCGAACTTACAATAGAATTAAAATAAGAAAATTGGAATAAAATCATGGCTTAACCCTAACGTGGTACATATACTACGAGAGTACCCAAAGTTTAGCCCCCAGGGATCTTTCCCCCAAGCTGTTTAGAACCGGTTCAAAGTCCCTCTCCACCATTCTGACACACAATAGTTTTGAGATTCAAATTTATTGAGCAATTATGACATCCACCAAATTATTATTACATCATTACACTAATTGTGACACAATAAAACTGTGCCTCAGGTACTATTTTCAAGGATTATTTTTACGATAGTAGTCAGAACAGAGTGAAAACAGAGGTACTATTAGCCTAGAAAACGAACATTATTACAACTGCATGTAAAATTGTTATGAAAAATACCATTAAGGTTCACATTGTGGTTCAGCCTATTCAACCCTTTGCCACACACATGCCACAATGGGCATTGGTACGTACATACTTGTCCAGATTGGAAATTTAAAGCCAATTTAGTTTAGATACTCGAAAAATGCATATCACCTAAATTACAGTTTTGGTAGAAAATTTTTGAAACTTTGTTTTCAGTGTAGTTTTACTGTAGGTGAGTGACATAGTTATTTAGTATTACTGCAACACATATTCGTGTAGCCTATACAATATTTCTACTCTGACTGTAAAAAAAGTGCGAGTTGCACGCACAGTTGGCTATCTTACCAATAAAGATTGAATGATAAACTGAAACAAAGTTGTGATACGTGGCAAGAGAGAAATTTATTGAAAAAAGTTCGGGCCAATGGGTTATGCAAAAGGTTTTTTCAAGAAAATACTCAAAATATGTTAAAAAAAATTTGTTATGCTCTCACACAAAATGACCAGGATTGAGTTTGAGCCACCAGAAAGAAACTTTTTCACTCTTGAATAGGTATTTGTTCAACAACATGATGGTATTATTTAAGACGTACAAATTATGGAACTAATGTCATGAAAATTAGTATAAAATATGCAACACGTGATATAGGGAGGGGGGTTTCCCAAACAAACTAAAATTTCAGTGTACTTTTTATTTGAAGTTAATCAGTTCCACATCGAAAATGAGGGTAGCATTTTTGGGAATAACAGGTGGGTATCCTGCTGCCCCATAAGCGTAGTCAGATGTGCAAGTTAACTTCGCTCTCTGTCCCTTTGACATCTGAAAATAAATATACTGCCAGATAAATACAAGGTGGGGTCGCAAGAAAAACAGAAAATTTGTCAAACAGCTTTTTTTTTTTGCAAAGAATTACTTTACCAAAGTTTTTTTTAAAGGCATATGTTATAGACCAGCGGTTCCCAAACTATGGGTCGTGGTGGGCCGCAGAAGGAATCTTAGTGGGTCGTGAAAAGATGTAGAAAGCTTTGAAAAATTATACTGGTTATTAGGATCGGTGGCGACTCGAATACGTAATTGAAAAAAAAAAAAAAAATTAAATTGAATTGAATGTCGCCCGTGCATTTCAGAGCAGTATCTTAACATATAAGTCAAAGCTTGTGTAGCGTTTTAATGGTTCACTTGTGGGATATCGTTCCAATTAAACTTTTACCCATACACATTTTTTTCGTGATCTCATATGACCAAATTTTCTGCTTTTCTAGTGACCACCTTGTAGGTTATTATTGATAAACACTATTTCCAAAACTGCTTAAATGGGGAAGTTAGGTTAGGATATTACCTAAAGAAATTTAGATAAATATTAACACTATTTAATTAAGTCATATTTCAACAAACAATATGATTGAAATTACCCTTTTAATAGAAATTTCTGTCAAGCGAAAAGTTTAAAATTTAATAAAATGATGTCTCTGTTTGAGCATATTTCAATTAAAATCACATTTTATAGAGCAATTTGTTCTGATTCATATTGTATCCCTAACAAAACCACTTGGCAGCTGAGTGAATCTGTTTCAATTCAGGGTGCGCACAAAACCCAGCTTCAAGTAAATTCCCTTCATTACATTCTAAGTCTACGAACCTGGGCTACGCCTTCATCCCACCCTTTGATGACCTGGCCTTTTCCAATCTTGAATTGGAATGGTTTACCGCGGTCTCGAGATGAATCAAATTTCTTGCCATCGGTCAGTGTGCCTGATATAAATATGTTACATTCAGGAATGGATTGCATGTGAAACTAAATTCAAAGTTGGTGTTTCACCATCAAATTTGGGTTTATAGACTCTCTGAGGGCCAAAACAACGAAACAATATACATTATCGATGAATTTCCATTGCTATTTAAAAAAGTTTCAAGACTTTTTGGGCAGCCTATATTATTATTAACTTATTATCAACTCCTCAAAGAAATGTAAAACAAAATCAATAACAGTCATGTGGTAGGAAAAGTCTGTATACCTGAAATTTGTCATTAAAATATATTTGAATCATTTTAAAATGAAAATTTGCATATTCTTTGGTACTTTATGAAAAGTACAGATAGAGGAATTGAATGCAACCACTAATGCACAAGATATAATTTTTATGAGTATATTTTTCAATATTCACCTGTATAATGCACTTCAACTGTCTGACCAGGTTTTGGGAAATTCGTTCCTGTAAACAATGTATATATATCACTATATGGTTAGATTGAGAAAAATAATAATAAACATAATACAGATACTACTTGAGGATTGCTAGATGCTTCACTATCACAGAGCAGTTAACGTAACCTCTGTAAAAAATACTTTGAACACCACTCGCAACCGAGTCAAGAAAATATCAGATATCTCCGTTCATATTTATCAAGACCAGTTGTGATCACTAGCAGCAGATTCCATTATTCCAAAAAAATGTATATATATGTCACTACATAGACTATTAACATGAAATGCGTTACATAAATCTAACACATGACAATCAATTTTGAAACACTAAATATAGAGCTAGTCGCCAGTTCGGTGCCTATAGCCAATATGCTACAGTCGTCTAACGTCAATAGCAGCGGTTCCCAACCAGGGATGCGTGGCCCCAAGCGGGTCACAGAGCAGTTGGGGGGAGGCACAATGCTAGGTGCAACATTGATTTTACTTTTCATTCCCCATTCTTTCTAGGTTCATTGCTTAAGGCTGTAAGGGTATTTCACAGAGTGTTTTCACTTTATAGGCTAGTGCATGGCTACTCAACTGGCGGACCGCGGTCCGAATCCGGACCTTTTGAGCATTCAATATGGACCGCGTATGCAGTATAAGCATCGTTTTAGAGTTTTTGTTGATGATATTGATACTATTTACATACACGGCTATACAGTTTGCCGCACTGGTACCGATGTGCGACATTTGTGTCCATATTTGTGAGCCAATCATTGCTCTTGTATTTAATTTAATAATGCATTTGTTTATTTAATAAAATACCATTCTGAAATGTCCGGACCCCTGTAATTTTGAAGTTTTGTAAACAGACCTTTGGTGAAAATAGTTGAGTAGCCCTGGGCTAGTGCATGAAGAATTCAGCAATTAAAATAACACTATAAATACCACTGGAATGATAAGCCTGTAGACGGGGGGGGGGGGGGTCTTGAGTGTTTAAAACTTCCGAAAGGGGGCCACGCCCATAAAAGGATAGGATCCACTGGTATACAGGTCTAAAACCAGTACGGCACACTATACAAATCGGGTGACATTGTCCCGTTTCAGAGAAACCCATTTTACAGATGACACCCCTCCTTTGGGAGACGTCTGGACATTGTTGTCCCTCAATATCGGTAATAACACAGTATAAGGAAGTTGCGCAAAATACTACAAAAAAGCGCAATCCAGTAACGTCATTATTGAATGCCTTGGGAAAAAATAATCCTATTTACCGAAAGAAAAAAATTGTGCCGTAGCTTTCGAGAGTTTTTAGCAAAAAACGGCAATTTTGTTCATGTGACGACCGCGATTAATTTAGATTATTATTGAGACAAGCATGGCGAGATATGAAGCATCTGACGTGGTCCCAGACGCCCCTCGTTTGTGAGACACATAGAGTGTTTGTTTTATTGAGCCAAATGGAGGGAAATTCTTGGAATTTGGATAGTGTGCTGTACTGAAAACAGGAACTGGTTCGCTGACCATCACAACATTGAGTGAAATACTTCAATAAGACATTTAAAAAACATGGCTGTATGGTCAACCACATTCTTGAGATTCATAAATTATCCAGTTATCCTAGCAGTTCAAGTACAATATTGGGAAGAAAGGTAGGATCGGGGCCAAATATTCCAGCTCGGCCCGACCCGGGTCTGTGGGTATCAAACCGGACTTGAGCCCAACTAATTAACTGGATTAGCAGGCCCGAGCCTAAAATTTCATATTTTATTTAGGAGTTCTTTGAATTTCACTACTACAGTACTAGTATATATTTTTTGTAAATATATATTTATTTAAAAAAAAAGTTAGCAATAGAAAAGACCTACCCAAACGTAATGATTGATATTTAAGGCCTGACCCGAATTTAAGGTCAGGCTTCAGATTTTAGTTCTAATTGGGAATGCAATTTACGAATTTATTTAATTGGTATAAGTATAAGTTTATTTCGACTCCATAATCAGCAATAGACGATAAAAAAATAGATAAAAACAAAAGTAAAAGTAACTGATTATAGAATCGGGAAAGCGAATAAAACCTCGAGTAAGGTTTGAAACGTACAGATTTTAGATGGAAAGGTATTGATAAAAGAAGTAGTACGTGTTCGCTCACCCAAAAGTAAAAAAAAAATTAATTAAGGCACGCACGCACACACACACACACACACACAATCATCCAGACATGATACTGTTGGAAGCGAAAGAAAGCGAGACTTAAAAGTAAAAAGGAAGGAAAATATACAAACAAATAAAAAAAAAATGAATAAATTCTTTTGCCACACCAAATTAATAATTTTATGAGGATTATCAGTATATAGACTAAATTATATATATATATATTTAAATATAGGAGAAAGTCGGGTTGGGTAAAGTAAGACAAAATGATAAGTCGTCTCAAGCCACAGAGTCAGCACTGGGCTAATCCAGTAATCACGACGCTTCAACCGTGCCAAACTGCGAAAAATCATAACGAAATCAACCAATCTCACTGTAGTATGATAAAACTGTAAAACGAAGAAAATATATTTACCATCTCCTGCTTGTGTGGTTTCTACGGTAACTCCCATTTTTCACCGATGTAAACAAACAAAAATATAAAATTAAGAATATTCCCGAGTCAGACGAACGAAGCAAACCGTGGTCGCGCAAGAAAGAGTGGTCCGATAAGAAACTGAGAAAAAATAACCGGCGTGACGAGCTTTTTTCTCCCGCGTCATCGCATGCTTCGTTGATTTAAAAACGAAAACGTTATATTCGCGGGTATCTTTTGGAAAAATCTGGAAAGAGTCAGCCGGATATCTGTTTCAGATTCATGGAATTGATAACGGAGGAATTTGCGACGAGTCGTTTTCCAGCAATCCTCTCACATATAATTATTCTCCATGCGGAGTAGTCAGAGGTGTGATGACGAGTGTATGGACCTTTCCCCGACCTTTGACCCCCGGATATTTCTTCCTATACTTTACCATTGCAAAATTTTCGGGGCTATTTTAAGAGTGCTTTTGCGAGTTGGCGCCTGTAAAATGGGGTATGTGTTACAAATCATCATTATGATTCATTGCATACAACAATCTTTTTTTTAAAAGTACCGGTAAAGAATTTCAGGCTAGTCTATCACAGCTATTTCTACACTAATTTTTATTACTGCAATCAAATTAAAACTCCTAGGAAGACAGAGTGATCATTGAATTATCTGATTTATATTTAAGTTTCCGAAACACAACTGAAAACTAACGAATAGAGTTCAAAAACGCGAAAACGAGGTAATGTTTACAACCACACTTGAAAATCTGTCTGAGTGAGAAAAGTGTCTGAGCGGATGCGAAAAGGGAGCATTGTTACGTCACGTTTTGCATTTTGCTGATTGGCCAATGTCACGAAGTAAACAAGGAAGTCGATGCTTGGGGAAAGGTCCATGGACCTTTCCCCGAGCATCGTTTTCCTTGTTTACTTCGTGACATTGGCCAATCAGCAGGATGCAAAAAGTGACGTAACAATGCCCCCTTTTCGCATCCGCTCAGACACTTTTCTCACTCAGACAGATTTTCAAGCGTGGTCGTAAACATTACCTCATTTTCGCACTTTTGAACTCTATTCGTTAGTTTTCAGTTATGTTTTGGAAACTTAAATGTAAATCAGATAATTCAATGGTCACCCTGTATTCCTAGGAGTTTTAATTTAATTGCAGTAATAAAAATTAGTGTAGAAATAGCTGTGATAGATTAGGCTAAAATTCTTTAACGGTACTTTTAAAAAACAGGTTGTTGTATGCGATGAATCATAATGATGGTTTGAAACACATACCCCATTTCACAGGCGCCAACTCGCAAAAGCACTCTTAAAATAGCCCCGAAAATTTTGCAATGGTAAACTATAGGAAGAATTTTTCGGGGGTCAAAGGTCGGGAAAAGGTCCATTCCCGAAGCCAGCCGCCGAGTTTATGTTGTAATATAATTATATTCATTTATAATGAGTAGAACGCAAGTTGAATTTTCATATTTATCCAGGGGATGGAAACGCCGGTAAGACGGCTAAATCAAGTCCATGCATTTGAAAATAAGGACTCGAGGATTGCTGGACTCCTCGCCGCGTAGGGTGGATCACGTAATCGCTGGTCGGTTACGGCTTCCCCAACAATCAAGTCCGTGCGCCCGGAAACAATTAACTAACTAATCCCATAGCCGACGTGGAATGGTAACCGGACGAGAAACCGTGGCTCACCATGTGGTTAAGCCGTCTTATCGGCTTCCTCTCCCTATGAAAATTATATAAATTCCAACCTAAAACAAATAACCGATATGACTGGTAACCGGGCGAGAGACCGTAGTTCGCCATATGATTAAGTCGTCCTAACAACTTTTCTCACACCCGGATAAATCTTATGTAAATCTTATCTTAAATCATATGACGAAACACTGACTCTCGTCCAATTAATTACATCCCATGTTGGGCATGGGAATAGTGAGAAAGATATATGTTTCCGATTCATGGAATGATGATGGAGTAAACCGTGACTGGGCCAGCGATTGCATGAACCCGTTGCCACGACGAGTCGTTTTCAGAAATCCTCTCGCATATAATTATTTCACATGCGCGGATGCGATCCGAGCAAGGTTATCAAGGGTGCGATGGCGAGCGTATTCCCGACGTCATGCACCGAGTCTATGTTGTTATCAAAATTGTATACATTGATAATGTTTCGTTGTTAAAATCACAATACAAAAATTGAATTTTTTGTAAGATTAAGCTTTCCGCCACTAATGCAAAAATATGTGATTCGAGAAAAACACCCCCGCCACGTTTTAAGTAATTTCGCGTTCGCCACGTTGTATCGGAGGCTTTCTACAAAAAAATCCCAAAAATTTTGTTTGGCATTGTAGTTTATTTAGCTGCGCAAACAATCTCTTGTGCGCACCATTGATATTTCTGCCAACTTCAGTCCATATGTTCCAGAAACATGCAACTGCACCATATGATCCTCAAAGAGTAACTCTAATCCAAATTACCGTTATTGTTTTTTTTTATAAGATTCAGATATTTATGAACTACCGTGTTTCCCCGAAAATAAGACCTACCCTGAAAATAAGATCTAGCATGAATTTTGAAAATGATTTTGATATAAGCGATATTTTCTATCTAAAGACAGCTATCTACAGCTCCCAAAGTTGCATTGCTTTATTTTTTCATCAGTTAGAGAAAGATTCAAGAGAATCTGTTGAAGTCAATATTTAATTAGCGATGGCACTCTTTCAAAATCTGGAATATATAAAGAAATAGCATATGTGAAAAGTCATGTTTAGGAAGCCTCTATCTAAAGAATCTTGGAATGAAATTTTTGAAAGACTTTCACGCAACAACGTGGTGAATCATGTAGGCTATTTATTTTTGTTTTAGTTTGGTGAATACTGTTACTGTTTCAAGATGAAGTGCCCGAACATATACTCGTTTCAATTCATAATATACAACCGGTATTAGTTTCGATAATACAGTCTTTTTTCATTTGGCCGTCTTTTTGTCTTTGTTTAAATTAGAGGTATTTTTTTCTATTTCGCTACCCTTTTCCTGGGTATTTTGTTTATTTTATTCCTTTGTTTTTGTTTGTATAATTTTTGTATTGAATATGTAAATAAAACGTAATGCAAATCAACTCGCAACTCAAGTTATGAACTAGAGTTAAGAGGTATGAATGAGTTTATAAAAGAGGAAATACTGAGTGATGAAAAAATTGATATTATTTTAGAAAAATCCGTAAGGCTTTGAAGTTCTCTCCATTATCTGAAATTTATGCACATTGAAATAACATAATTATGATAAAATTATTTGTTCTGTGTGTTAGAATGAAAATTATATTATACCAGATAAAATTGTTGTTGTTTTAATCATGTCTAACTTTGATTTTTCCCCTTTTTTATTGTCTTAAAATATGTGATATACTAATACCGTGTTTTCCCGAAAATAAGACTGGTCTTATTTCAATTTTCTTCCGAAAAATAACACTAGGTCTTATATTTTGGGGGTGTCTTATATTTTCTCTATCAAAAACAAAATTACAGAGTAGAGAAATAAATAACACGTTTTTATTCAAAATAACTTCATAACATATATCATTAATCATTTGAAACGTGTAAGAAAGATTTCTCGCTATCGACTAAGTCAAACAAAATTGCGCGTCATGACTAGGTCTTATTTTAAGGGGAGGGCTTATAGTAAAATCATTTTTAAATTTCAGACTAGGGTTTATTTTCAGGGAAACACGGTATCTAATTTATATGAATGAATTGGAACTCCACATCATGCTGAGGATACTGTTTTTTGGGAAATATAATGCAATGACATCATGGGAATTATTCAAATATCGGAATTACCGTAAACCCTATACCGTGGATTATGAACTTTTGACTGTGTAATTTGTATATATCAAATAAAAACGGTATGTTAGAAAACAACTCAATTTATTGATATTATGTGATGAATGGACCTTTCCTCGACCTTTGACTGCCAAAAAAATCTTCCTATACTTAACCATTGAAAAATTTCGGGGTTATTTTAAGAGTTCTTTTACGAGTTGGCGCCTGTAAATGGGGTATGTGTTTCAAGCTATCATAAAGATTCATCGCATACAACAATCTGTTTTTTATAAGTACCGGTAAAGAATTTTAGCCTAGTCTATCACAGCTATTTCTACACTAACTTTTTATTACTGCAATTAAATTAAAACTCCTAGGAAGACAGACTGATCATTGAATTATCTGATTTATATTTAAGTTTCCGAAACACAACTGAAACTAATGAATAGAGTTCAAAAATGCGAAAACGAGGTAATGTTTACAACCGCGCTTGAAAAACTGTCTGAGTGAGAAAAGTGTCTGAGCGGATTCGAAAAGGGGCATTGTTACGTCACTTTTTGCATCTTGCTGATTGGTCGATGTAACGAAGTAAACAAGGAAGTCGATGCTTGGGGAAAGGTCCATTGCCCCTCATGATTTGTTTCGTTTGACTTTTTAATAAATAAAAAAAAAGTTATGAAAATGTCGATTCAAAAACTTTGATGCTTGCTCAAACGCAGGCGCTAGTGAGCTGAAGTAATTCAGAACGACAAGGTTAGCAACTTAACGACTTACGTAGTGTTGCGTGGATTGAAAGTGGCAATTGAATTTGCGCCAGTTCTGGTTTGTTTTTTTATTCTTTGCAAACTTTGTACAAACAGTTTTATTGAGAACCAATTCGATTCAAATTCGGAGGATTGGCAGAAAAAAACTCCAATTTTGCGGTACCGGTACTCCTGTTGGCGGTAGTCTATAACTTACCGTACTTACACAATTCAGCAATTACGGTACCGGTACCGGTACAGAGTTACGGACTTACGGTACCGGTACAGTGCACCGATGCGATACTATACGTACTGACGTACCGTAACCGTACGGTACAGCCGTATCTGTACCATACACAGATACCATACCGCTACGGTCAGACGGTACACTGGGACCGGTACCGGTACAGGAAAGTTATGGAAATTTAGTCCTTGTATAGATGGTTCGGTGCTAAATTCTGAAATTGCAAACAGTACAGACGACAGTACGGTACGGTAGCGTACCGTACCGGTACAGCCGTACTGCAGTAGGAGGCCGCTACTGATATGGTACCGGTACCGTACAATACCGGTATTAACTCATGTACCGTTAACTACCGTAGGTAAATACAACAACAATACAACAACAACAAGGTAAATACAACAACAAAATTAACATCATTTTGCCCATATGTAGTCTAGACTACTTGGTATGGTACATACTGACATAAGTGTAAATTTATTTCGACTCCATAATCAGCACAACACAGTACTGCAGTAACACGGTACCGGTAACAGGCAATAAAATGATTGATATAAATAAATAAATAAAAACTGATTATGAAATTACACAGGAGCAAACAAAATTTCATATCATATTTTATCAGAGACTAAAGTATTTCAGAATTTGTATTTCTGCATTTAAGAAATAAAAATTTTAAAATGTCATCTGATATTAAAGTTGGAATTATTGGAGGCACTGGACTCAATAACCCAGACATATTGGAAAATAGAGTTGAAAAAGAAGTCAATACAAGTTATGGAAAGCCATCGGACACATTGGTGTGCGGAACAATTAGTGGCATCAAATGTGTTATATTATCTCGGCATGGCCATGGCCACTCAATATCGCCAACGCTTATCAACTTTCGAGCTAACATTTGTGCGCTTAAAGAAGAAGGCTGCACCCATATTCTTGCTACATCAGCGTGCGGATCTCTCAAAGAAGAAATAGCGCCAGGACATTTTGTCATTATGGACCAGTTTATAGATCGAACTTTTAATCGCCATGTTACATTTTATGACCAACAGCCCGGAAGTTGGAAAGGTGTGAGTCACATTCCTATGGGTGAGCCTTTCAGTCCTTATATCGGGAAAATTCTAACAAAGGCTTGCAAGGAAAACGGTGTAATATTTCATCCAAATGGTACGACAGTTACAATAGAAGGGCCTCGATTCTCAACCGTCGCCGAAAGTAATATATTCCGATCATGGAATGCGGATTTAGTCAACATGACTACAGTTCCTGAAGTCACTTTAGCCAAAGAAGCAGGGCTTATGTATGGCGTACTCGGAATGGCAACCGATTACGATTGCTGGAAAAAACATGAAGAAGCAGTAAGTGTGGAGAGTGTGATGGCTGTTATGAAGAAAAACTCAGAAATGGGAACAAAAATTCTGAAAACTGCTGTGAGATTGATCGCTGAATATGGTGATTGGACTAAAGAAATAAAAGAAGCCCAAGATGTTGCTACCAAATCAATCATGTTGTGATAGACTTACGAGGTTTATAATATTGCACATTCTCATGACACAAAGGGGTATATGGTGGTGTGTGAGCACCCACAGATTTATTTGTCGCTCCTGTAGTATGTGAACCAAGATCGCAGACACCGGAATGTCTTATGTGCACCTGAAATCATGGCCTAACCCTAACCTGGTACACATACTGAATTCCGGTGCTCGCCATCTTGGTTTACATACTATGGGAGTACCCTTTATTCACATTCCTAACAGAACACATTCCAGATGGAAACACTCACAGTTAATGCTACCTTGTATATCTCTACGACCGCACACATGATAAGCACACCTCCAGACATAGAAACGTCACCTTCAGACATGAACAGGTATGAGTCAAAGGTCACTATATTACAAGGGTGAACAGCGTAAAACATTTTTTATGCATCACTATCACTCCCAACATGTACATGCGGCTACTAATATCTTACAATATGTAATGGGCTGCTTTTTTATTGAAAGGACCGGAATTATTTGTCAATAAACTTTTTCAAAAAATCTTAGCTATGTGGGTCCGCTATCACCCAGCTACTTTGTTGATTGTATAGCTCAGAGTCATGTCTGAGTCGGTCGAAATTTAATAGTCACATTTTTTATGCAACACTATCACTTCAAACACGGCCATGTACATGCAGCCACTAATAAATTACAATATGTAACAGACTACTATTTTTTAAAAAGACCAGAATTATTGTCAACAAGTTTTTCCAAAATCCTTGGCTATGTGGGTTCACTATCACCCAACTACTTTACAGACTGTATTGCCGAGGGTCATGCTTTGGTCAGTCAGAATTTGATAGCTACCTGATAGTTTTTATTGTTCTGCAGACTTTATCTTGTGATCAAGCTAACATTGAACATTTTTAAAAAATGACAAAATATGAACAAATTAAATGGCTATCAAAGTACTTTTTGTTTTGATTTATCATCATAGCTATACCTTATCAGATATATTGCAACACAAAATGATATAGTTTCAATGATATTCCTGTTTCAATCAATTTAGAGCGAGTCCGATTAAAAAAATGTTTGTATAATTTTTTTTTTTAATTTACTACTTTGCAGCTTTACTTTTATCAGGGAACTTTATTCTAATTAGCATCTTTAGCGTATTTTTGATTCAAAAGTTCTCCGAAAAAGCAGAAGTTTTTCCCGTTTGATTCTGTTCATTTTGACCAGGGGCGGGCTAGTCACAGCCTGCGAAGCGGCCCACCAAAGTGTTTCATCCGGCCCACTTTTATTTGCTGAAATTATGACTATAGTTTTAATTAATGGATATAAATTTCCGTTGAAAATATCGTCATAAGGACCCCGGTTATTACATTGTGCTTATTATTATTATTTCATAATCGTTAGCGTATTGTTGGACTAACTGTTGTAAAGAAACTGTTTTTCATTCCTAGTTTTTCATATTCAGTTTTGGGTCTCATTATCTATAACTCATCTACTGTGGAAAGTAATTGCCTACCCCGGATTTTGACATCATGTCGCACTCACTGCTATTGTTGCTATTGTTGACATTGAATATCATACTAGCTATCATGGTTCAGCATTTTACCTTAAATTCTTTCATTTCTCAATTTTCCATGGCCTTCAATTCAATCATAGTTCTTTTTTCAAAGTTTCAGTTAGATAGATAGATTTTAATTACCACACACAAGATGGGGTTGAGTAGCAGTACTGTGGCGCAACTTGCTGATAATGAACAACTAAAAAGACTTTCTGGAAAAGTTACGATAACAGAAAATGATCCTTTTTGGAATCAAATGTTATCGTTCACTCTCCATGCACCAAAGACAAGATCTGAACAAGTACAATTAGAAGAAATAACGGATTCTCATTGTAAAGCTTTAGTAGAAAATAACCAACACACTGGGAATTTCACTGCATTGTTGAAAGTCTTTTTATCGCGCTCAAAAGAATTGAAATCGTCCGCAGAATGCGACGACCGAATTTTTACATGGCAAGCCCATAATGTGTTATTCATTATTCGCCATGTTTGTAAATTTCTAGCTGAGAATATGTCGGAAGAAAATATGCTTGAGCAATTTGAAGCACGCTCGTTGCAAGACAGACAAAAGGACTTAGAATCCGGAGCTGTGCTAAGTGGAGCAGGCTCAATTAACTATCTTGACCAACTTATTGAAGCTTTACAAGAAATAATTATTGAAGTCCCGGTGCTGGAATTCACTTATAACTTACATATGGAAGCAATGACTGTGTTTTTGGTTCTTCTGTCTGTACAGATGTTTTCACCGAGTCCATCTCATCACGGAGTGTTTACGAATCGAATAATGAATTGCACCTCTGGAGAACGAGGTAACAAGTTTATAAAAGCGTTGTTACAGCATTATATTGAACAAAAACCTCTGCCGAAAGATGGATCTGAGCCACAAGGTGGCAGTATTGTTATTGGAGTTGCGTCTGCTGTAGCATCAGGATTATGGAACGTCGTGACCTTGGGTCGAGGTCAAAAGAATGATGCTAACAATGCACACAATCTACTACCCCCACTCTAAGCCAAAAGCTCTCTACTGCTATTGGTGTTGGTGAATTATAGCACTGAAAAAAAAACACACCACAAAAAACTGTATATCAAATGCATTAGAAAAATTTCGCCATTTACAAGGAAGCACAGCCATGAGTCCGACGTCCGCTCCACCCTCATTTCACTTGAATTTGTCGAGGCTTTTCAAGCATTATGTGCGACGCAATATCAAGAAACATCAACTTTGCTTCTCTATTTTCTTCTACATAAGAACCCAGAAGTACGAGCATTCATTCTTTCAAAAACGGACATAGATAAACTAGTCGTCCCAATTTTAAAAAATATTATATTCAGCTCCGGGAGCAGAATTCCCACCATATTTACATGGCGTTGATGTTTATTGATATTAACAGAAGATGACCATTTCAACCAATCAGTGCACGAATTGGAAAATCAAGACAGTTGATTGGTACACAGATCGGTTGCTAAACGACGCAACTCTCGGCGATCTAATCATCCTAGTCATTGTCCGCACGATTCAGTTTAATATGAGCAGAATGAGAGACAGGTATTTACACACAAATTGCCTCGCTGCTTTGGCGAATATGTCCGCACATTTTAAGTCACTACACTCTTACGCTTGCCAACGAATTTTTAGTCTTTTTACTCTTCTTGCTAAAAAACAACGAAAAGTTGCTGAAAAATTAACAGCTCGAAGAAACGGGGAAGAAACGTCCCACGATGCAATTTCTGATACCCATAATGCAATTGGTCAAATGAATTTAGACATGGAGAGTCAACAGGATTATGCAGCTGAATTGTCAGTTTTAGTTGAAGTTATTAGAATGCTCCTGGAAATATTAAACTCTTGTCTTACTGGAAACGGATTACGACACAACGCGAATCTCGTGTACGCATTACTTCATCGAAAAGAAGTCTTTTTGCAATTCCATAACCATCCAGGATTTCAAGATGTTCTGCAAAATATTGACACGATTGTGCAATTTTTTACTTCACGTTTGGATAAACTGCATCAAGAATCAATGACTATAGAGGAGGTGAGACGATATTCGATATTTTTGATTAGCTATCATTTTCTGTTTGTACTTATTTTTATTTTAATCAAAAATTATAGTCATGCTCAACCTGCTTCTTGATAAGATTATTGTCAAATTAGTAGAATGCACACTTAGGACAATAGTGAGCAAGTCAATGCATCTGAAACGAATAACTGGCTAACTAATCCATTACCCGACATGGATTGGTAACCAGGCGTGATGCCATGGCTTGCCATATGATTAAGCCATCGTATCGTCTTTTTTCTCCCCAGGATAAATATGTAAATCCTAATTTCTGTATAGCATAGCGACTAATAATTTATCTTCCACCAAGATTATCCAACAAATCAGATTATTGAAATTACTATAAATTACAATATTCTGGGCAATTCCAGCGTTACTTTCGTTACATCTGAGCAAATTTTTAAATTTTAAACTGACTTAACCTAAAACGTATTAGAAGTATGCAAGTCACATTGTTACTAGTTGTAGATGGCATTGGGGGGAGGGGGGGGGGGGGGGGGGCACCGTAGAGGTGGCGATACTATGGACTACTTTCACATAGGAATGCCCCGAAACAGAACTGTAAGTTTTCTATTCCGATGATTTACGCCGACATTAAAATCTGAGTTCAATTAAAATACTAAATATCAAAATTAAATGCAAGGAGAGTTGCAGCATTACCTTTTCCAATATTGGTAAATCGTTTTTGTTTGCACTTATTTTTCAATCAAGATTACTAGCACTACTTAACCCTCTTCCTGTTTGTTAATAAGATTAATGTCGGATTAGTTTTTTGTGAAGCATGTGCACGGGGATTTCACAATGGATCTCCCAAACACTTTATTTTGATGATAGATATGATACTGATCTTACTTTCAAAAAGGTGCCCTTTTTGTGGACCAGCGAATGGAGTTTTATTTTAAAAGTTGTCAACAGATAATGTTTGGTACAAGTAGGGATGTCCACATCCGAATACTAAACTATTCTAAAATAACACTGAAAAAACATTTCGAATATCATTTAAACTAAATCAGCTAAGCCAAAGCAATGCTGCAGAGGTGAAATCACATTATCCCTCATCACATCATTTCTGTAATTGGTAAAAAACATGGAATGATACAATGTATGTCATACATCTTGCAAACAAGTTATTCGTAGGAAGAACTCAATCATGGCTAATCAATGTTATGTTACTACTTGAGCTTGGCATTTTGAATCCAATATTAAATTATTCAAAGAGGTTCAGACGAAAATTTTGAATCACCGCTATCTTATTTTGTTTTGGCTGCCAAGGGTTAAGGTGAATTCCTCATTTTTTTTTCTTCATTGGAGCTAAATTTTTACAATAGAATTCTGACATATGACACGTTTTTTCCCCATGAGTTATCGATGATACATGTTTCGTTATTGTGTGTGAATGCTCAACAAACTGTCTGAGTGATGTCTTCTAGGTTTTTCACCCGTCATATGCATATGGTTTTAATCACAAGATATAATCAATCAATGAACTATAGCCACATCACATTAATCAATACATTGCATGATAAGACGACTGCATGATAATAATGATATACCGTATATGGTTTTTAAACTTAATCAATATGCTATGGTTAAGCATTGATAAAAAATGAGCATGGAGGCGATTTTGATTACTGCTTTTATGCTCTGTTTTATCTACTTTAAATCATTTAACTATCTCTGACTTTCTTTTCTTCTTTGTGGCTCAGCAAAGTCAGGCTCAAAACTCAATATGAAAAACTATGAAAAAAACAGTTTATTTACATAAGCTAATCCAACACCTAGTCCTAGGCTAAGGTATATATACTAATAAGAAGCACAATGTAACAATCAGGATCATTATGACATTATTTTCATCGGAAATTCATATAACTTATAATCGTTATTCCAGCAGGCACACACAAGTGGGCCGGATGAAACACTTCCAGAAGCAGGATTATAAAATGCTGACACAATTATTTGTGTGTCTGCTTGTACTGAATCTTGTATGTAGGAAATGTGTGAGAATGCAGAATAGGAAAATATCACCCTCAGAGAAATTCTCTTTTGTCATTCTACTTATTCAGAGCCTTGTTTGGAGTGGGGAGCATAAATGATACACGGAAAAAATAACCCTATCTGCCATTCTTTCATATATCAGAATATACTTGTTTTGGAGAGAATTTGTGGCAATGCCATGACGTAGGTGTTTTAGCTTTTGACCTAAATATTGTGAAGTTGCCTAACAGAAGAAGTATAAAACAACTCTCTCTGACATTCTCTTCTTTTTAAAGGTCCACGAAGTCATTAAGGACGCCATGTTACATCTACCGAGCCATCATTTGAAGAAATTTCCGGAGTTAAAGTTCCGATATGTGGAAGAGGAATCGCCCGAAGAATTCTTTGTTCCGTACGTTTGGTCACTTGTTTTCAACAAATCCAACGTATTTTGGAACCCAGGATGTGTACAGCTCTTCACTTTGGATAGTTGAAAGAGAAAATAATAGACTGATGGTTGTTCCTCTGACCTTTGAACCCAGAATAGTTCTTTAGTGCTGCAACAACTATAACAAAATTCCAGTCGAGTATGTTATTTAGGTACTCTCGAAGTATGTGAACCAAGATGGGGGACACCGGAATGTTGTATGTGTACCAGGTTAGGGTTAGGCCAGGTACAAATACTAAGGGAGTCACTTGGCTAGTCCCCGAACTCATCATAGAACTAAAATAAGGAAGATCAGAATAAAATTATGGCCTAACCCTAACCTGGTACACACACTACGTTCCGGTGTCCGTCATCTTGGTTCACATACTTCGGGATTACCGGTATTTTTACTTTTCTTGAAATCATATCTCAAGAGTTAGAAATACTGCTTGAAATTACGAAAACAAGCCAATGTTTACAACTTGAAAATTTGTATGGCTGAAAAGATTTATGTGTGGCTGCTTTATTGTCAATTGTTACATCACATAGACTTATTGTTAATTGGTCATTGTTATGGAAACGAACAAGGAAGTTAATGCTTGGGGCAGCATCCATTACTCTTAACCGTCCGTGCCTTGGTGAATGGTGTAAAACTATATTTCGAAAATATATGACAAAAAAGATTTGATCAAAGTCATTTATTTTCAGCTTAGACTTGATTTTAATTTAATAGTTGAACAACTTTTCCTTGTTCTGCAAATAGTCTGTCGGCACAGTCTCACAACCGAAGTGTGGAATTGTATAGGACGGTCGCCAGAAAAACAGAAAATTAGTTTTTCAAAGAATAACTTTATAAACTTTTTCAAAGGCTCTTGTCATATTACAATCATAGATGCTCAAAACGTTGTCCGTGCCATTCAGAGCAGTGTCTTAACTTGATAGAACCTAAAAGGTATCAACCTAAAACAACTCAGAACATAAAAAAAATAAAAACATCAAAAAAGAAATGAGTAAGCACGTATTTTATTCATGATCTAATTTGACCTTTGAATTTTCTGCTTTTCTAGCGACTACCTGCAATTAATACATACAGGGCAAAAGAACTCCCATATTTCATTAAATTAATTCATAAAAATATGGAAGGTCTCTTGTGTCATCCTCTTGTGGTCAGTAGTTCTATCAATAGCTTAGAGACACTTAACAAAAAAATTGTGAGAATTCAGCGAAGATACTAATGCTTTCATATTTTTAAATTGTGATATTTCTAGGTTTCGGTTACAATGATTCTATATTTTTTATTTCATTCTTTGTAAATACTTTGATAAGCTGATAACGCCAGCAAAATACTATATAGTTATGTATGCTCTGTAATATTCTAATAGTTTAAATTTTTTATTATATCTTGAATGCTTATGGTTTGATTTTATTATTTTAATTTAAGGTAGAAGCCTGGGCGAATTTTCTGGTTAGATATTATATACAATGAGACAACATTATTAAAACCAGACACTTTTATACCCATATTATGTTGGACATCTGTATCTTGAATTTTTGACTTTGAAAAATGACCTGTCGATTGAGCTTAAAAATTATGATTTGCTGCATAATATTTTATGTGCTTTCAGGGGCGTTGCCAGAGGGTGAGGGGTTTGAGGTTCGAATACCCTTTTGATACTGATACTCTTCTATCAGTGTTGCCATTTTTCCAACTTTCAATACAAGGGAATATAATACGAACAGTTGAACAAATTGTACTGGAAAAATTCTTTCTCAGAAAGTTAATTTTCTTCCCTGGAATTTCACACTCCGACTAAATTCAACCGTAACCCATTATTGAGATCTTTTAAGCGATTCTGTGTTTATTGTTTGAGTGCTCTGTATGGAATTTTTTACATATTAACAAATGTACTACGGAAATTCCTTCTTATGCCCATGGAATATTTCACACAGACGAAATTCAACCCTATTGTTCATTAGGACCTCGAAATAAACGGAGGATTTTGTATAAATTGTCATGTTTCATATTTGTGTTGTGGATGGCATTTTTTACCAAACAAATCATATCATGGCTGACAATAATTACAAGAACTGGCAACCCTCACAGTCCTAAAGAGATTGTGAACCCTGCTCATGAAATCATTTAACCAAACTAAATTCGGCACTCCAGTAGTGTATGTACCAATATGGAGGTAACTAACTTTGTTCGCCTACTTTACATCAAGTTGTATAAATGTATTGAAACCTATTAGCAGGGGTTATATTCAATTGGCTAACACAGACTGTTTCCGAACTCGTAATAGAACTAAAATATGGGAAATCTGACTAAAATTATGGCCTGACCCTAACATGGTACATACACTATGGCAGCACCCTAAATTCAACCTTAACCACCTTAATAAGAGTTGAGAAGCTCTTTTATTGGTTCTTCATATATTGTCGTTTTTTAGACTTGTTTCAGAGTGTTCTGGGTGGATTTCCAGACACCAAAATATCATGAGAGGTCACGCCCTTTAAGTTGCTATTGCTTGATCATCAATTGATTTATATGAAGCTTTTTATAAATTATATATTGATTTTAAATTTATTGATATTGGGTGCTTTCTATGTAACAAGCAATATATTAATTAGTTAAAAAGAAGTTGTTGTTTTCTTGTGCAAGGTTAACTTCGGATATGCCCTCGCACTGGGGACTAGAGATGTCCCAATCGGGCCAGTACTAGGATTTATAAGCAACAAGCAATATAGGGTGTCCATGAAGTCTTCAAAATTGCAAAGGGAATTTATTGATAGCATATATTGTTTTGGGCCTCACAGATATAATAAATGAAGTAAAAATACTTGAACAATCACTAAAAAAAGACAAAGCCTGGTTGAGATCTGATCTTCATAACGAAATTGAAATTGTGAAGGGACTTTACGGACATCCTGTATATTAATCAAAGACGCACTGGCACTCACAGTACTGGGAACTGCACATCTCTAGTTCCCAGTACTGTGAGTGCTAGTGCGTCTTTGATTGATATACAGGGTGACCATAAAGTCCATTCACAATTTCAACTTCGTTATGAAGTCAGATCTCAACCAGGCTTTTTGTCTTTTTTTGGTGATTGTTCAAGTATTTTTACTTCAATTAATATATCTGTGAAGGCCAAAACAATATATGGTATGAATTATTCAATTTGGGCCAAACAGAGCCGGTACTCGGGTTGATGCGTATCATTAGGACCCGCCAAATGATGTACGGTATTGTATTGGATTGTGGGAACACATTAGAATCTGTCTGGTTATAGGTCTATATCGGTTGCATTTTAACGCACTACAAGAAACAGATAAATTAAAACAGATGCTGAACACATGTGATGCACATCTCTGCTAGGAACATTGGTTTCAGAAAATTCTGCGCAAATCTGCGAGAGAGATGGGATTGCATCCAATGGTGATTATTATTAGAAATTATTACAGGACAGGGTAGTTTGTGTGACTGTCGATGAGATGAGTTCACCCATAATCTTGTGTTGAAAACATTAGTTGGCCAACTGGTAAGGTCTAAATACAAATAATTTTATTGTCTTGCCTCTTCCCTGGATATATTTCAAAGACTTATATCGAAATTACCGTTCTACCAAAGGTTTCTGGCAAATGACTTGTTTTTGATTAATCCATCTTGTCATATCCCTCAGGTAAGGGAGCTTTTCGATTTACCCCCATATTGCAATACCTGAGTTATAAAATTGAAACAAATTGGGACTTGACCATAGGGTTACCTCTAGCCCTAAAAAAAAAAATGCTTTTATTTGAGAGTATCCATATATTAGTGGGGGATAACTTGAAAAGGTCCAGAAACAGTATCTCCTTACCATAATATGAGTAGTGTATAAGCAGAACATCATTCATTGTTAGAAATTATTATCAAACCAACCGGATGGGAAAATAGGCAGCATTAGTTTCATTTCCTTCCTCTTGTTATGTCGCACATGATTCACTACATTGTATTCATTTGTCTGTTTATAAGAAATATCGTTTTAAGCACAGTGGTTTCAACACTCTGCATTTCATGTCTTATTTTAACACCATATTCATGAATATTCCCTGTTGGTTTACTATTTTTTGATGGTTTAACAAGTTGATTATTCAATAATTGAATAATAAATAAAATAATAAAAATAACATCATAAATTAAGTAATTATTAACATTAGGATCGGTGCATTATATACATTATTCCCAGATAATCCATAGTTTTTTATTCATTTGTTGATTTCAATACAAGTTGGGTAATATATTTTTGATTATTGAGCATAAAAAAAATTATAATTAGTCATAAGCTTTAACATATCCAGTTAAGTTATTTTATATAACAAGATTCTTTCCTAAATTTTGCAAGAAAGGAATTTATCTATCCACATATTGTTTTGGCCTTCACAGATCTTAAAAAATACATGAACAATACTGTGACTTAAAAACATCAAACCTGGTTAAGATATATTGAGAACTGACTTCATAACAAATTTGAAATTTTGAAGGAACTTTATAGACACCCTGTAACCTATATTAATATGACCTCACGCCAATAGAAAGCAAGCATTAGCAGAAGCGTATTCATTCAACTTACAGCCATTATTACAACACAACAGCATCATTTCAAATCTCGAAATATCTCCTTCCCGAATTCTGTTTAGTTATTTTTACTGTTTAGCAGAATTCTTGGAATGTTAATTGCTTATTCAACTATATGATGATCTGAAGGTAGCATTTAATAATAAATGAGATTGGCAAAAGCAGATTTATCCACCAAACTGCCTTTTTCTCAGTTGAGGGATCGGTTCCTGAAAACTTCAATGACCAATAAACAGGGTGTCCATAAAGTCCCTTTGCAATTTTGTTATGAAGGTAGTTTTCAATATTTTTTAACCAGGTTTGTTGTTTTTTAATCAGTAATTTTTACTTCATTTAATACATCGGAGAGCGAAACAATATATGGCATCTATAAAATTCGCTTGCAATTTTAAGACTTTAAGAACACGCTATATATTATATTGCCTCTTTCTACTATAATTGACAAGCCAAAAGAAGTAGATTCATTCAAGATATAATCACACTTAATTTCCCCTTTCTATGATCTGAAACACATAACCAACATCTTTCCATAAATGATTTATTGCACAATGATTACAAATTATTATATCATGACAAAATATGCCCAGAAAAACAGCCTAATTTAGTACAGGAAAAGAACATTCTTAAAGAAAATCTGCTTGGAGTTCCAAGTCAAAATTACAAACGACGTAAATACTATTGTTTTGTTAATAAAACTGCCAATTTGACAGCTCAAAATTTAAACACATTTAATGTCTGGTTTTTACCTTGCCATCATTATTCAGTGTTGGGCTGTAAAATTGTTTTAAATACACTTCTCTTACATTTTTTTGGGATTTGGTAGTTGGTACTATTGGGTAATTCCATCATTATATTAAAAAAATTGCACAAATTTAAGACAAGAACTTGGATTGGCCCAAATGTGTAAAATTGCACAATTTAAAACAGTGGTTACTAATAACTGCATTCATGTGGCTTCAAAACTAGTCAAAAATTAAAATTGACATCAATACTTTCACTACACACTGTGGAAGGGCAAGTTCGAGTCCAGAAGAGATTGATTGTCTTTGACATTCTTCCTGGGCGAAGTTCAGGATAAAATATATATTATAGGGGAAGAAATGACTTAAACTTCTACAAATCTAGTCGTTATGTCCTACAATAATTTCATGTAGTTTAAGTATCTCTCGGCATTCCAGTGATTGCATATAACTTTTCTCAAAGATCATTAGGCCTGCAATACATTCTCACATGATTATTCCCCTATCAGATTCAAAAGTGATCCACGTCCCTAATCCTTAGCTGTTAGCTTTAGCCTGTCTAGCCATGGTCATGATCAGTCATAGAAATTAGATTATTTGTCAATTTCGTCAGAAATAATCGAAAATGAAAATTAGGTAATACAAAATATCAGAGGTAGCGATTGAGGATTGACTCCATTTTTTCTTGCTTTCCTGATATCAATCGAGGGTTGCCATTTTTCTCGATATATTCTGCACATTCTTCCAGTGTTGCTGCCCCACTCTTGACTTTTGCCCCGAGGCCAGATGAGAAGGTTGCATATCTCTCCTGTAGAAAAACATTGGTTGTTTTTAATAAGCAACTTGATTACGTCAGTGTTGAGTGGAAGTCCTAAACCCATACCAAGATGACGCACAACCTGAACATAGTATGTGTACCAGGTTAGAGTTGTTCAGGTTGTGCGTCATCTTGGTATGAATACTTCCGGAGCACCATATATTTTGTAAAAAATTTGCGCCGCTTGAAAAAAGGAAGCCACTGATTTGGATGGCTCGCCTTGATAGATAATGACTCAGGTCGACTCAAGCTGCTCTAACATTGTCGTCTGTCGATACTGAATAGTTTAACTGAGTTTTTTTAAATTGATGTACCTTTCCCCGAGCATCGACTTCCTTGTTTACTTCGTGACATTGGCCAATCATCAAGATGCAAAAAGTGACGTAACAATGGTCCCTTTTCGCATCCGCTCAGACACTTTTCTCACTCAGACAGATTTTCAAGCGTGGTAGTAAACATTACCATGTTTTCGCGTTTATGAACTCTATTCGTTAGTTTTCTGTTGTGTTTCGGAAACTTAAATATAAATCAGATAATTCAATGATCACTCTGTCTTCCTAGGAGTTTTAATTTAATTGCAGTAATATAAAATTAGTGTAGAAATAGGTGTGATAGACTAGGCTAAAATTCTTCACCGGTACTTTTAAAAAACAGATTGTTGTATGCGATGAATCATAATGACGGTTTGTAACACATACCCCGTTTTACAGGCACCAACTCGCAAAAGCACTTTTAAAATAGCCCCGAAAATTTTGCAATGGTAAAGTATAGGAGGAATTTTTCGGGGGTCAAAGGTCGGGGAAAGGTCCATAGGAGACGGCTTAATCATATGGTGAACAACTGCCTCTCGTTGCAGTTACCATTCTATGTCCGGTATGGGATTTGTTAGCCAATTATTAGTTTCAGATGCATGGACTTAATGGTAGATGAAGCCATAACTGACCAGCGGTCACGTGAACCACCCTACTACAGCCAGGAGTCCAGCAATCATATCGCACATCATTATTTCTCATGAGAGTCGAACTCGCACTGGGTAATCAGATCAGAGGTACGTTGGTCAATGTATTCTTAATGCTTAGCATGATGCGCCAAACTGCCAAGGTTAAAAGTTACTATTCCTGCTCATCAATACCTATCCATTTACTACACCAGCATCTCTTACATATTTCCCAACATGGTGCAATGACACAGATCCAAGTACTACATTATACAAAACAGCCCCTACCTTTACTGCTTTATCCATGATTCCTTCTTCAATGATCTTCGCAGCAACTCTCAACCCTCGAGCAAAAGTATCCATTGCACCAATGTGAGAAATCAGCATGTCTTCTAAATCGGTGGATTCTCGACGAACTTTGCAATCGAAGTTGAGTCCCCCTGGTGCAAGACCTCCTTGCTCAATTATAGTCTGAAAAATAAGGTATAATGGTGATTGCTACCCCCATTTATGGACAGGATTTGCTGAACAGAATAGCTTGTAGAATGGTTCTTACCAATACAGCAGGCTATCATTGATTTATGAGTTCAAACCGGACAAGTTAAATAACCGCTAATAATCGTAAATACATGAATTTGGATGTTGACGAAAGCCACAGTCTTTACAAGAACCTGTGACAGCAAGGAGCCTAGTATCCTAATTGGGAGCTGCTAAGCCACCATTGAGACTTGACTTGAAGTTTAACGCAACATATTTATTCATATCACTGTTCTTTATGATATTAACTTTCTGACCCAAAATACCAAGTTGGGAATCAGGGGCGCAATGATTAAACTTGACATGGGACTTGAAAACAAATATTAGCTGAGACTCAAAACTGGTATAAATGGCGACATGACTCACGGTTTTGGGCCTAGTACCAAACACCACTAATGCCCATGACAACAAAGGGCGCTACTTAAGTATGCGTACCAAGATGGCGGACACCAGAACGTAGTATGTGTACCATGTTAGGGTTAGGCCATAATTTTAGTTACAAATACTACGGTAGTCACTGGGCTAGTCCACGAACTTGTGATAGAAAATTGGAAAAAAATTATTACCTAACCCTAACCTGGTACACATACTACGTTCCTGTGTCCGCCATCTTGGTATGCATACTGCAGCAGGATCCAACAGGGTTACTTTTGCAAAAATAGCAACAAAATTATATAGCTATTGCATTTCCTACCTTCATAACCATTGCAGCACTCTTCACATCCATTGGAAACTGGTCAGTATCCCATCCCAAATCTGGCGACCCTGTATTGGAATCCACAGATCCAAGCATTCCATAAGCTGAAGCCATCACTATATCATGCTCATAGCAATGACCTGCCAATGTGGTGTGATTGGGCTCAATGTTCAGCTAAATAAAGGAGAAGTAGTGGGTTAGCATAAAATCTTACAACTATGTACGGCGGTGTGGCGCATCATGCTAAGTGTTAATAATACGCTCGCCACCGCATCTCTGATTACCCTTTGTGGGTTGGGTTCGAATCCCATGCGGGGATGATCATATGCGAGAGAATTGCTGGACTCCTCGCCGCCGTAGGGTGGTTCACGTAACCTGGTCGGTTACAGCTTCCTCCACCATCAAGTTCATGCTTCCAAAAACAAATAAACAAATAACTGGCTAACTAATCCCATACCCGACCTGGACTGGTAACCGGATCAAAGACCGTGGTTCGCCATATGATCAAGCCGTCTTATTGACTTTCTTCTCCCCCAGGATAAATATGTAAATCCTATCTTATCCTATGTGCATAAAATCCAAACATTTTCGACTTCCCTGTCCTATTTTCTAGCAAAGTCTGGAAACAAGGCTCACGACAACCGAATAGTGATATGTTAGTAGGAGTTATGCTGAAGGATATTGTTTTACATAGGTGTAGCCAGGATAGGCCTGAGGAGCGATGGATTCGATGAAATTTTTTTTTAAATGCAATTTTGCAGCATTTGTAGTGAGACATAAATATTTCACTTTTTCCAACACTATTTACTCTATTATAGAGGGATTTACTGCAAACTGATTTGCTATCAATAATTCCTTCACGAAATGAACCAACCGAGATAAATGAAAATGCGTGCTTGTATACCTTGAATAATTTTGACAACAAAAGTAAGTCTGTAAGGAGATTCCTTAAAGAGATATTGTTAGATATTAGTGGTTGCTTTTGTCTAGCCTTGTTCAGAGCAAAAGGCACGAGTGAGCGTAGTATTACGTCACTATACAAAAAAAATTGTCTATCAGGATTCAATGTTTCCTATCCTATTACCAAAGCAAAGTTGGAAAACAAGACTCTTGACAAGCAGATAATGATATGTTGGTAGGTACTATGCTTTGGAAGTGACGAAATATAAAATGTAAGGAGTTCACCATCTCACTATTGAATTCTTACTGAATTTAAAAAATTTACTATTTTTTAAAACTTGTATATGATCAATTTTGATAAAATTTAATATTCAATTGGGAACTCCCGTAGTATGTGTACAAGTCTAAGGTTAAGCCACAATTTTATTCCGATTTTCCTTACCGGTATTTTAGTTCTATTATGAGGACTGTTTGTGTTAGCCAAGTGAATATATCGTCTGCCCATAGGCTTCCGTCCCTTCAAACAACTTGTAAAGTAGACGGACGAAATTAGTTATCTACAAAGTGGTACACATACTTCTGGTTACAATTTATTATTAACCCATCTCACCTTGAAATCCTTGTCAAGTCCATATGTCTTCAGAAAGGCAATCACTGTCATAGCATCTAAAATCAAAATATGATAATTATAGTTTGGGTATGAAATGGTTCGTCAAACCATTGCTCTGAGCCAGTTATTCCTGTTCAACCACAAACAAGAGCAAAACAATCCCTAAACTGAGGAAAAGATTCAAATTTTAATTTTTTTTGATATATTGACGTGTTATGACCCTCACTCATGAAAGGATTATTGATAGTAAGCCAGTAAACGTCCGGTTTTCAGTAAATCTTCCAAGAATAATATAAAATAGTGTTGGAAAAGGCGTATAGATTTATTTCTTACTGCGAATGCTGCGAAATTGCATTTGAAAAAAATTGAAAATTTTGGGAGAGGCGATTGGCATGGTCCCTTCCTCTGTCTCATTAATTAGGTACTGATGAGATTACAGTTCCTCACAAAATAGTATTCTTCACGATCAGTGTCAGATTGTCCAAAGTCTTGCTAAGGGTGTCTAAATGATTCCTTGGGGATTAAGGGATTCTCGGTTTAGAATGATCAAGAGTTTTATGTTCATTTTTGCACAGGTTAGACATAATGAAAAAATAAGTTAGATGGACATACCATAGTCATACTGATGCTTAGATGGTTCTTTAGGTTTCGGTTCAATGAGCAGCTGACCTGTGAAACCAATCTTCTTCTTGTAGGCTAAAAATATTTTTTATAATATCAACCTCTATCTATAAAAAAACAACTTGATGCAAAATTGAACCATAAAATATGGGTTCATTCATTTATAAATTTTGCATCTTGTACTCTTTTTAAAAACTTCAATACCTTAAACTTTACAGAGATATTGACTCTTCTAAAAATATAGTACCTCCCTGTTTATCAGTATTACTTGTTTGGGAAGTGAATAATAGTGGAGGTCCCCATGATATTTATTATTTATACAGGTTTGTTCGAAACAGGGTTGAGAGCCATCAAATAAAAGTGGATACACTATTGACAGAAGAGCTAACCACATACTAAGGATTAGATATATATAAGTCAATCTTTGTGACACAGTTGTCAGTAAATAGAAACAATTCAAATCTACATTCTACTGGCAGAAAGTATTTCACAAAGTGAAGATTTTTCTAATACATAGTTGTGATATTGGACATCAAAAGTCAATAGGATAGGATTTAGATATTAATCCTGGGGGAGAGGACAGTTGATAATACAGCTTAATCATATGTCGAACCACAGCCTCTCATCTGGTTACCATCCCATGTCGAGTATGGGATTAGTTAGATAGTTATTTGTTTTCAGATGAATGAACTTGATGGTGGAGGCAGCCTCACCCTAGCAGAGGTTATGTGAAAAAAACAGAACCTACCTACAACCATCTTAAAAAAGTTCGCCATTTGATCCAGTTCCGATCGTACATTGGTATTAAGAAGGGAATGATACCCTTCACGACCACCCCAGAAAACAAAATTTTCAGCCCCCATTTTCTTTCCGATCTCCAAAGATTTTTTGACTTGTGCTGCTGCATATGCTAACACATGAACATCAGGATTGGTTGATGCTCCATTCATGTATCTGAAATGAATACCAGATAACATTAATGGATTTTTTCCATGTGCAGTTTCTATGTTTGAAAAAGCAAGGCATAAAGGACGGGGAGGAACTATTGTAGGTACTTCGGAGGGCACTCCGGAAGTATGTGTACCAAAATGACGCACAACTGAAACCATAACCTTTGGTAAATACTATGTTCAGGTTGTGCGCCACCTTGGTACACATACTTCGGAAGCACCCTTTGGTGGAGTAGGTAGATGCCAACGAACAGAACAGAAGACTCAAAACAAATCAATACTCTTGGTAGCAATTTGGTGGCATGAGCATTATTTCTTTCTAATCAAAGTAAGATCTATGATAGAAATGACACAAGGGAGATTGCAAGCTGGTTGTCCTTCGAAGCAGGTAGATCCCAACTGAAACAAGAATTAAAGTGCTTCCAGTCGAAATTGTCAGGAAATTTTGTAGAGATGACTTCAACAAGGTGAAACCTCTTGGTTTTAACATGTGGGAGTAAATAGATAGTTGCTTCTACTAAAACAGCCATGTGGAAAAGATATTAAAAATCTCATACTATCAGTTCTCATTTCAGTGTTAGTTGAGAGATTGACCTTTGCAAACTTATATGAACAAGATGGCAATGCTCAAATAAATGAAACAACAAATGTCAGATCAGTGTCACCATGGGTTGAAACAGCAGAATATTGAGTAAAACAAATATGTTATTTAAAAAAATGTACAAAAATCGTACCTTGGATGTGCAAACAGGTTGCAAGTGTTCCACAGCAATTTAACATCTTTCTCCTTCATCAGTTCGATTGCGTAATCTGCAACCTCATCCAGATATTTATTCGTTTCCTCCAATGTTTCGCCTTCTGGTGCAATGTCACGGTCATGGAATGTCCAGTACTGAAAATATATTTTGTTGTTTTAAATTAAGTTTCACGAGAATGAAACAATTTATAAATAATAGTGCCCAGAAATGTTTCAAAAATATCATTTCCCACTTGATTCATATGCCCCACACTTCATATGAATACTCCCTTCAACTTCCTGCTAAGTATTATCTATCCTAACCCAGAACATAGCATAAATTCCATTTTACATGCTTACTTTAACCATTTGCCGCGCAATATATTTATATATGTAGCAAAGAGTAAGATTGAGATAACATTTTTGAGACGCCTGGGTGTTAATAGTGATTGCTTGTAGCTCTTCCGTCAGCACTTCATTCCTCATTTTATTCAGAACTTAAGAATTTTGTCAACATGGATAACACAAAAACAGGTTGGCTGAAGAATACAAATTTGCCTATTCCACCCTTTAGTGGGCAAATAAGAGCAAGAAAAAAATTCTTGATATCAGAATGGAAAATAATAAATCTATTCATAACAGAAAATACTTCTGAAAAACAATGAAACATTATCTATTTAGATCAGCATTTTGTAGCCCTAATGTATTACTAGAAGACTTGAGAGGTGGTGGGCATGAGAGGTTAACCAGGGATTTTGAATCTATGATGCCAATATGATTAGACCCAGCTGTCCAACCCGGCCATCACAATCACTGATTATATCCTACCTTTATTCCAAGCTTATCAAAGAAATCGAAGGCAACTTTTAGTCTTCGTTTTGCATTTTCAACGCTGTTACTTCCATCATCCCATGGTCTTACAAGGGTTGGAAATCCAAATGGGTCAGCTCCTGTACAAAGTTATTATATATAATATGAGTATAAAAGATTTACGTTTTCGTGGAAGAGGAAAAGATGCTTGATCATGTGCCAAAGAAAAACTTCTGGTTTGGTTACCACGTACCAGTCCATGTGGGTTGACTCACTTATTCATTTTAGATACATTGACTTGATGGTGGAGAAAGTCGTAATCGATCATTGTTCATAAAAACCACCTAACGAAGGCAAGGAGGGCAGTATTTTCTTGTACATAACTATTTTCATGGGATTCAAACCAATGAATCCACACAGGGTAGTCAAAAATTCAAAGAGGAAGTCCGTTTCCAACCAAGAATGGAGTGCTGATCAGATCCCTGTCCTTCCAAAAATATTCCCCAGATATCAGTGGCTGCTTTACCCTGCTCGCACAAAGCCCTATTTGGAGTGAAAGATGTTAAAAAGCATATTATTTACAAAAAAAAGCATATTATTTACATATACAAATCAGTTGCTGCCTGTACTAGTGTTGGGTAGAAGCCTCTAAATCTCAAATCCAGAGCCAAGTTGAATCATGAGTCTCAAGTCGAGCGAAAAAGGTTATTTGAATACAAGTCCTGTTCGATCCATTTAGACCAGAGTTATTTTGAGTCTTTGGTAAATGGTGATTCGAGTTTAACTTGGGTGAGTCAATGGACTAGAGCCCAGGGGCCGAGGCCAGGGGATTTTGAGGTTGAAACCTTCCCCCATTTAAAATGTTCATAAATAGGATTTGTCTGTATCATACATAGCCAATGTTCCCTCTTAATTTTTTGTATGTGCGCAGAAATTTTGGTGTGTGCGCACTTTTTTGGAAATGACTAATATTTGTGCAAAAACCAATGAAGAAATTTTGGCGTTCTAACCGGTTAATAAGTGGGCCAACAACAAACTTTCTCAACCTGCCAACCGAGAACATTGTTACAATACATCGAAATACGCCTGTGCGCAGTAAATCCATGCGTGTGTGCGGCCTCTGAAAGCTGTGTGCGCGCGCACAAGCGCACACTTTAAAGGTAACACTGTACATAGCCATTTTTCAGAGACAGAAACTCTTTTTAGACCCTCAAGACTTCTGAACACCCATGTTTTCTGGCCTCTGGCCGGTCATTTCTCCCAAAAAAGGCTGGTACTAGTGGCGCAACCAGGTCCGCCCAGACATGCTAACTGTTTTTGTGCAACTTTGCTATTAAAAATGTCAGAACCCGCTTTTGAAAATCCTTGCTGTGCCCCTGCTCAAGCCCCTTACCACTGACTTGTAAAAAGCCCAGTTCAGAGTAAAAACTTTATATAAAACATCCCACTTACCAGTTCCCCTGAAAGTATGCCAGTAACAGGCAGAAAATCGAAGCCAGTCTTTCATTTGTTTTCCCATGATAACTTCAGTTGCATTGTAGTATTTGAAACAAAGAACCTCATCTGGTTTGGCGTCAGACTTGTATTGGACTTTCACATCTACAGAAAAAGAGTTAAGATTAAAAAGTATAGAACCTTCTTCTATGAGTTTTTATCATAATTCTGTAGTTATTCGATCAATTTACATAAGTTGTATTTATAATATAATAACCAAAATAAGTTGAAAGATAAAGTTTTAAAACTTGGAACTAAATGTATATGATTTCCCTGGTTGTTGGTAAGGTATGTGTGTGTAAATATCTCCGCTGAAGAGTTGGCGTTGCGGGATAAAGGTCCCATGTTTAAAACCTATTGAATAATACACCTATTTGTAATATATTGGGTAGACAATGCAGAACCAAACCGCAAAGATTTCAGTCCTTGCAAAAAAGTAGCTCCTCACACATTCGTTTCTTGTAAAGAACCCAATGTAATGCTTGTAAAGAATTTTGTTCAACGGAAAAGTACTAAAACTTGATATGAAGAATATGGTCCAATATTAAACTTGAATAAAACATCCTTTATTTTCAAAAAATTACGTCAATAACGATTTTCCAAACAACTTTTATTCAAAACAAGGTCAATTCCGAAAAAAAGTTAGGTGAAAAGAATGAAGTACATTCCACAGTTAAATGGTATAGTAACAATGAAACAGAAACTGCCCGCAACTCACCAACTGGAAATGAAATAATCTTTGCACACTCTGCACTTGCTGTGGAATCTCCGGCTTTAGGAGCAAATGAAGACATATTGAAATTACTAAATTAGAGTTTTATCGAAATATCAATCTTTTATTTCCTAAAAATAAGAGGTTGCTTAAATTACTGTATTTAGATCGTCAGTGCTTGGAAGGGGAAGGAAGATGAAATTTACAAGACTGTTTTATATGGATTGGTATTTTGTGATCTATATTATTCGAACTTTGGCTTATACACTTAGTATTTTTGGTAATATTGTCGTGAAATGAAATCTTTGCGCTCTCTAAATACCTATACTATATCAAAAATATATCATGAGAAATCACCTAACCACGTTGGAGGCCCAAACACTCTTAGCTCAACACATACATAATACAGAGTGTCCACAAAATCTCTTTACAATTTCAATTTTGTTCTGCTGTCAGGTCTCAATATATCTTAATCAGGTTTGTTGTTTTTTAATCAGTAATTGTTTAAGTATTTTTACTTCTATTTAATACATATATAGAAGATTGGGTAAATTAGCTGCTTTTGCTTAATAGTTCGTGTTTTTCCCTAAACATATGTGAGGGCCAAAACAATATATGGCGTCGATAAATTATGTTTGCAATTGAACAATTATAAGACTTTATGGACACCCTATTTCTACACATTTTCTAAATAGCCTCTGCTGCAATAGCGCTACGTACCTTGGCACAAATCTCATGTGCGCGATGCGATACTTCCGAAATCGTGCAGCAACAAACGCGGATTGCTGCATATTGCGTGAGTCAGCTGATAGTACAAACAATTTTGTTGACTAAGTTACCAACCGCCCTAGCAAGAACAACAAGTAAAAAATACTTTTTGAATAATGCACAACAGCACGTTACTGATATAGATGGCTGTTAAAAAAGGAACAAAATACATTTTATTTGCAAGTATATTGCAATTAATTCTTATCGTGTGTTTTCATGCCACTCATAATAAGGCTCTCAAATATGTAGTTATACTAGCCGGAATACGCCATATACGTGTCTTATCACGGGCCCATGTTATACGCTGTTTTGCAAATTATTATGTAATTCGGCTGATTTACTATAGAAAATAGGTTAAATTCACAATTTTTCAGTTTTAAAAATAACGAGCGAGGCACTACATGGTGTGTCTGATAATAATTAACCTACGATAAGGTCTCATCGCAGCACACAAGCGAACTTTGTACAACAATACAGCGCTTGTGTGATATTACAAAATGACAAAGATTCTGGGTACGATCTTCAGGATTTTTTGTACATAGCGCCCGCCAAATAACACCCCCGCCATCGAACAAAAAAAAAATAGTAATTGCACAGCACGGGTGAGGGTTAGGAATTCGAATGCAGATTATGATGGAAATTCAAATTTTAAATCATTCCTAACCTTAACCAGAACCCCGACTAGATAATTACTAAATTGTTATTTAAACGGGGCGGGGGTGTTTTTCTCAAATATCACTTTTTTGCATTAGTAACGGGGTCTTTGTACGAAAGATCCGGTGTTCCGTTTCCCGATTCAATTTTACTCTGAATGCCGAATCGGAGATGAACGATCAATCCATACTGCTTGTGTGAAGGATAGTTTAATGTTTCTTTAACACTAATTACAAAACTCCCAATACAAAGTTACTGCTTAAATTTTTCGAAGAATACTATGGTATAAATTCGCAGCTCCGAGTCCAGGAATTATGTTTGCTTTCTCGTCGTATAGCAGTTTTTTTTGCCTAGCCTCGGTCATACGTAGCCTCATGAGAGACCATGTTTCGCCATATGAATAGCCCGTTTATCGAATTTACTCTCCCCTTTTGGAATAAATATGAAAAATATCATCTTTCAACTATGAGCGAACCTTTGAAACATCGGCGGACAATCTGCCTTAGTTCTAACATCTGGTCTATTTGATGCTAAAACCACATATTATGTGATATTCAATCTTACGGTATCCTTCTATAAAGCGCATGCAGATGCACTAGCACAAAAACATAGTACATACAAAATAATTATAGGCACCGTGTTTCCTGGAAATATGGCCTGGCGTGAATTTTGAATATGATTTTAATATAATCTCCCCTTAAAATAACATCTAGCGCGAATTTTTTAAAACAAAAACGTGTTATTTATTAATAAATGGATATCGGTTTTTATATTCTGTATATTTGAAAATCTTGTAATTTATTTTTTTATAAATGAAATTAAAAGACGTCCCCTCAAAAAAAAACCTAGTGGTATTTTTTCGAAAGAAATTTTAAATAAGACCCGGTCTTATTTTTGTGGAAATACAGTAGCTAGTCTCGCCCCCCAACTGATAGTACCTGAATAGTAGATTCACTGCGCGGACGTAATCAAACTGTGGCAGTGGCGACATCACAAACTGACTATTTGCTTGATCGTTTGACCCAAAAGTGCAATTTTGTAAAATAAATCCGGAAGTAATGTTGTTGTATTGAAGAATTATTTCCGGGCAAAATCAAATCCGTTTCCATACAGGAGCGTAACTATAGTAAAGCATATGGTGTAGATTTACATATTCACTACCAAAATACTGTATAGTTTCAGTAGATCTTGCCATTTGAGTGGCCGCCCTGTATTTTTGCTCAAAGTTGGTTCTTCAATGATGAGTCTTGGTATTCGAACAGGGGCGCTGTCATGATTTTATAAAGGGGGGTCCTGAAATTATTAATTCCCAAGTTGAACCGTATCAGCTAGTGCTAGTGGGTCAATTTTTTTTTTTTTAGTATGGGGGTTACGACCCCCCCCCACCCATCCTCCTCCATCCGGCTACTCCTATGCTTTTAAGTGCCCCAGAATTTTGCCCATAGATGAGTCTCCTTTATGTATGAGAGTGGTCGTTACCGCGCTTTGAAAATGTTTTATAAAATAGTCCGATCGCAGATGCGATTGATGTCGCATTCGCATACTCATCCAATGTCTGTGTCCTCCATACTCACATCTGGGTTTATTCTAACTCAGAGCTCCCCAAACTCTAGATATTTTACGACTACTCAAAATTATCGCACAATGCATTCATATGCGTTGCGACGTACAGTTTTGGAATCACTGCTATATTCATTTCCCCAAAGTTCACGCCAATTTTATTGCTGTTTGTATTTTATTTTATTGATGAATAACGAAAGAATAAATATATTTCTCTTTAATGCCCCGAAACGTAGTAGACTCAAAAATATCTACCACAATAGATCATGACCTAGGTCAAAATCATGCAAAAGTTTTGGCACAAAATTTTTCTGTTTATTAACTTAGCTTAACAACCTATGGACCTCCGATGTTTCGACTGCCAATCAATGCCGTCCCCAGACAGAGATATCAAAATTTAATAGTTTATAATGAAGTACAATGAAACAAACCATTTCCAATAAGAGATGAGGCGACTATCAGGAACATTCGCAAACCCTTAACTTTAATGTATATATATTTATACGGGGTGTCCATAAAGTTCCTTTATAATTTCAATTACGTTATGTTATGAAGTCGGTTATCGTTATATCTTATCCAGGATTGTTGTATTATAATCAGTAATTGTTTAAGTAATTTATCATCTTTATCATCGAAGTTGTAATTCATTAAACCTTGTAAAAATGTCTCTATGGGTTTTCGCTCTTGCTTCTAGAGAGACGCGCTTATGTGTTCGTTAATCCGTCGTCGTAATTAGTTTAGGAAACGAACTGTCCACATCCCCTCTCGCTATATCCAGCTAAAACTTCCTTTGGCAGCCGTGATATAAAACGCTCCCTAAGTCTACCACTGAAAAGCTCATAAAATAGATAAATTTTCATAGATTTTGTGACGTCACAATAAGTTTCATTATAGCTGTTTCAGAATGTTTCGGAACAAATCATACACAAATTAGATTTACCTGAAGATTGTGCCTGCGCTTTAGCGCAAGAAGATTTTAGGATAACGCTTATGAAGTGTTTAGTAGGAAAATAGGTGAGTGAATTTGTTTCATATTTTTAATAAAGTTTTCTTATAGCTATGTTTGCGAGGTTTAATACAATGTAATGAGGTAGGTTTCTGTTAGCGGAGTCGCAATCGTTGGCATAGCTACGTAAGAAAGAGCACGTGGCAAAAAATGCGCTTCTTTGATCAATGACTGACAATTTTTAACGATAGTTGTTGAATTGAGATACCTATTTATATTTTTTCTTATTTATACTTCATCAATTATTTAATCTGAAGGTTAATAATAGTTTAATGTGCTACTTTTGAGTGAAAATTTTGAATATTTTACTAGAAATATATTGAGAAGGGACACGTTAAACAATAAAATATAACGAAAACTTGGCTTCGTGCAATGATTAAAAACTTCATTTTTCTGCTTAGTTGTGGCAAATAAATATATTGTAGTGCTTGGTTTACTGAATACGTAGTTTAGTTTACTCTGGTATTTTACTTATAGCAATGAATGATAAGTAATTGGTAAGTACCACAGGGCCGTCCCGTCCTTAGGCCACTGCAACTTATGCGCTCGCATGCTTCGCGCTAGTTCGAGGTTTAAGTTATTACATTTAACAATTATAAATTATCAATGGCATATCTTGGTAAAATGGCGCCCTTGGCAAAGTTCGAAAATGCGCCCTCTCGATCGTTGATTGACAATTTGTACCGACTGGTATTGAATTGAGATAATTCTACGTTATTATTTACTCCCCACGGGCTTCATAACACCAAAAGTTTTGACAACCCCTGGATAGTTTCCCCAATAATTTAGGCCAGTCCTGGTAAGCGATATACCATATATATTTTATCTTAATTAATTCGTTAACATTCTTGTGTGTGACTGTACCCGCTTGGTGCCACAATAGAGTTTTTTGCTATACAGAAACGGCGATGTGAATTCGTCACTTCAAACGGCATCTGTCCGTTCATATTCTGTCAGTGTTTCGAATTTGATATCATTGTCATCAACGAATGTGCTGGCACTCTTCTTATTGACAATAATATTAGCTCGAAGCCTACTCGACTCCTCGCCAAACAAAAGAACCGCTCTTTCAATAGCAACCAATTAACCCTTTATTCGATCTAGCCTTGTGTCAAAGCGTATGGTGGACCAATACTGAAAATTGTATAGTTCACTGGGCTGTGAACTCGTCACAAGATATGCTAAAAATCATGAAAAAATATTATTTTGAGTTACGAGGAAAACGATTAATTTGTTTGACGGTTGACGTCAGTCGTAATTTATTCGGTTATTGTTATTTAAAAGTGAAGAATACTAGGTACTATGCAGTTTCTGCCAACCTCTAACCTGTTTAGACAGGTTGGGGTGAGTTAGAAGATAGACAATAATCTATCCTATAACAAAGGTAAACAAAAAAACACAAGAGAAAAGTATTGATGGGGCAATACCAGTCTGGTGTCGAATTTTCTTATCTATTATACTTAATGAAACAATCACAACTGAGAAAAATTGAATCGATACGTCGAGAAGGAAATTTTACAAATTCCATTTAAAAGTTACATAAATTGGTTTTTAAAGCGATGTTGGGCGTAAAATATTTTATGCTTATCACTGTATTCATAAGATAGGTAAAGGGTTAATTTGAGGCCATAAATGTTTGTGTATTTGCTCAACAACGCTCGGCTGAGCCTTCAGAATTGAGTTAATGCGATATATTTTAGCATATATACAGGGTGTCCATGAAGTTCTTTTACAATTTCAATTTTGTTATGAAGTCAGTTCTCAATATATTTTAACCAGGTTTGTTGTTTTTAATCAGTAAGTGTTCAAGTATTTTTACTTCTTAATACATCTGTGAGGGCCAAAACAATATATGGTATCGATAAATTCACTTTGCAATTTTGAAAATTGTTAAGATTTTATGGACATCCTATACTACGAGTACCATAGTGAGGAGTTTGAGTATTGAAATTCGCTTTTTAACGGACCTTGGTGATAGATATTGAGGCAGCGGATACAGCGGGAAGCGATTTGGTTACTAAAGTATAAAATAGCCCTGTCTTGGTAGATAAATTTTTGAGCAGCGATTCTAATTCAAGTGGCACTGGTCATACCGCTTACAACAGGGGTGGGCAATTACCTATCTGAGTGGGCCAGCTACAGATAGTAGACTTGGTTATTGGGCCAGAGGCTCCAAACTTAATATGAAAAACTATGAATCACAATAGTACCAAGAATAGGTAAATAGTGCAGTACAAAACAAGCACTTCTATTGTGTAAACACATAGTTATCAGGCATTGCCAACCAAAGCTAATGAAATCCGCATTCGATTTTTAGTTTTCTATTATGCCTATATTGTTAGCAACTATCTCCAACCAAAACGATAGAAATCTAGGTAACAATTTAAACTGCCCATCACATCATTCAACTTCGATAGTTGCTTCAGCTAGCCATCATACTAGTCAATTCAGTCACAGTGGTGATATAACAACAATATGTCAAACGATTTTTCTGATTCATTTTATAAGAAGCAATTTAAAATACGATATTTTGATTACACTTCGAATGCGTCGCGGGCCACAGATAATGGAGCGGCGGGCCACATGTTGCCCGCGGGCCTGGGTTTGGACCACCCTTCCATAGATGGATGATCAGACTATTTCTAAAAGAGTTGTTAGGTCACACATATATATTCAATTGTATTATTGCTCTACAATGCGTCCGTCGCTTGGCTTAACAGTGATAAAAGCACCGTGCAAAACAGGGAACGATTCAACGCAGGCAGCGACAAGAGCAAAAAAAAAACGATATGTATTTTTTACCCACGTGAGCTTTTTTAAACATCAGCTGTGGGATTAGGAATTTATGCTTGATGGGGAAAATCCAAGTGTCGAGTGCTGACAGAGGGCCACTCTAAGTGGCCTCTGTTTTAAATCATTTTGCAACCAGATATTTCGAAAATTACTTAATTTATTGTATACCTGTGCAGTTTTAAACACACGTCGACGAGGCGAGATTCGAACCATGTATTTCTAATTGTTTCAATTTAGTTTTCCCGTCTCGCAATCGTTCTGTGTAAATACCCCCATCAGACAACCCGACACGCTTCTATGGTTTAATGTTTCCATGTTATGAAATGATACACGGACGAACAAATGGGAATAATCTATTGTTCGTCACAATGCACACAAGGCTGGTGGAATTTGGTGTTCCCACATATTTTTGATACTTTAAATTGCCGAAAAGGTTTATAATTTTAATTTTTCATATAAAACTTGAAATATATATAATTTTAGATTATCCAAAATTTAGTTTATTTGCAAAATTTGTCAATGAAAGATTAACAATTTGATTTGATTTTACAATTTTTGTAAGCGGAACACTGAATTGTCATCATTTCGTCTTACTTGTTTATACAATGTCTTCTGCTTGTTAGATTGACCTGAGCTCAGACTGAGGACATTTCGGTCATAAGTTCCTTAGTAAGTGTCGCCGATTTCACGAGTTGGCAAATCGATTCGGTTCTAAATTTAGGGTAGACAGAGAAAAGCCGATAAAAGGATATGTTTCGAAAGAAATAACGGAGCGTAACATAATAGAGCGTTTTTAGGCGGAATTTCGAAAGTCCCGTTTTTTTGGACGGCAAATCGAAGTATTAGATTTGATATATATCAAAGGGAGAGTGAAAATGATGATAAATGTTTTTGACAATATGGACTTGCTTGTCATATAACATTGTATGTACGCAATCGTTGAGCCGTCCCGGCAAGAAATTTCTTGGGTGTTTTTTTTTTAATTCTGGATATGTTTAGAATGATGATATATATCCCCAACTATGTAGCCCACCAGATCCTCGTGAGTCCCACCCCTTTCTCAACTCGCTACGCCACCAACTAATATGGTGAATTATACTCATCGACAAATACGATTCCAAGTCTATGTATTTAAAATAAAAATAACTGTTTAACTATTCATATGCCCAACATTGACTGGTAACCAACCAAACGAATAGCGGGGTTCACCATATTATTGAGCCGTCTCAATCTCTTCCTCGGGATAAATAGTAAATACACAAATTTGATTAGAAAATGAGTTAAAACAGAAAAGATGGACAAATGTCTTGAGTACTAAAAATATGTGGCATTCGTTGCAAAATAGACAGTTTCCGTAAAATTATCGTATTTTATCACCAATTTATCAATATTACTATCAGTAGAGGGTACGCGAGACCAACTCCCGAAACTTCCTCGATGCCTTTGCGCTAGTGGATCCACTTGCTTATAATGCAAGGATAATGTAGCGGGAATAAAAATACAATACTATGCCATTCAAGAGTCCTGCTACACTCTAACACAAATGCATTTCTGTAACGTTTTATGTGACCAAAATCAGACTTCCTTAGACAAGCAGTTTTTACTTATCGATCTTTATCGGTATTTGTCTGTTTGACGCACGCGATATCTCACGAAGGCGTGGTTGAATCTGCTCCAAATGTATGTGCATTCATCATATCTCGGACCAGAAGCCTATTGATTTTGAATGAATTATGTCGTATAATTAGCGAGGTAATAATTAATTAGTGATGGGACACGCGGTCTCACTATAGAGTCATGAATCGAAACCGCAGTTTCGATCGATAAGTCTTCGGTCTCCGACCGTTACTCTCGTTTAGGGGTTTGGTGTGAAACAGATATTTGCAAAACAGCAAAGTAATTATACTACTGTTTTGTATTACGCAGGTTCTGAACATAGCAACTATAGTTAGTTTTAACCAATATCAACAATGGCATCTCGCAGCGCAGGAACTCTGATCACGACACATAATGCGACTTATATTCCTCCATCTCTCATGCCAGGGTGAGTTGGCTTCAAAATTTTTATTAATTTATCTCATTTCTTGGCGCGAATGCCGTCCCAGTTGTTTATCAACCCCACTCTCCAAGGATGTTTTACATTAAAGTTATTTCAAATTTTATCACATTTCAGGGCTCCTTGCTGAGAGCCTTTTTGGGAGTGAATATGTTAGGAAATTCATGCAATTGGCGCCAAATTACAGCATGTCGACTCGATGCCTTAATAGTATAATTATTCAAATTGAGTTTATTTGCTTTTGAGTGAGTAACAAGAATATGCACAAGCAGCTACGCCGAGAAAATATGAGAAACAGCTTGCTCGACTTTGCGTAATCGTCTGCGCATTTTGGTCGACTATCCGTATATTTTGGCGGGCCTTATCACATCCCTGTGACGTCGTGGATGACGTATTCAGATGGGGGTTAGGAATGACATATGCAAAAATTCTTACGCCACGCCCAACAGGAGTTATTGTGGTACGAAACCACATGAGACCCCGTAATTTATTATATCGTGTGTGTGAGTTGTTGGGCATGAAAGATAAACGTGGAATTTTAACCTGTGACGCTATCATAGCTAATTCTAACCGCTTTAACCGTTAGATTATTAGGCAGACGAAAATTCTTCTTCGATGATGACACAAAAAACAGCTCTTCTAGTATATATTATGACGTCATATTCTTTATTTTTAGGTACAGAGGATACGTCCCGAATTTAATGTACAAATACGGAGACACGTACGGTAACGCTACATTAAAGTATTTTCAAGACTTTAGATCGGAAACACTGAACACTAGCAGAAGTCCCCTCGCTAAGGGTGGACAGGTGAGTGGTTTTATGTGGTTCTTTTTGCACCGAACACGGGTTCGGACGGCCCCCTTTCAAAGACTCTTAACATTCATTGGTCTACTGCATTCCAATAAAAGACAATTTTCGTTTTTGATGGATTTCCATCGGTTATTTTATTAGTTTAATACTTTTAATTAGTTTAATATAGAAAAGCCAACAAATGGAAGCAAAAGAATAAATAAATGCGGTCAAAGAATTGAACAAATTTCAGCCAATTTATTTTAAATTATTGGAGTGGAACAATTTGGATCCAGTCCGAACTCCCGTGAAAAATCAGATTTTTATAATAAAAACTGACATATGCGACAAGCCTTTTATCATGCTTTAATTATGCTCAACAAATGCTCAGGCAACCTAACTTGACTCTTTACGTTTTTGTTTCAACTTTTTTGGAAAATTTTGACCATAAAAAATTTGAAAATTGCGACCTAGACTTCATGACATTTAAAGTTTCAAACCCGATTCCCGGGAGTTCAAAGATACGACTCTAGCTCACCCTCCAATAAAAGTATACCCAACTTCGAGTCGTTCGAACTCTGATTATGTCCAGTGGTGGGATTCAAGTTTTTTGTCAGCCCGTTTCTTCACAAAAGTCATATTTTTCAGCCGGTTCTGTCACCAACAGAACATTGACAGTAATCAGTAATGCTAACCGGTTCGCTGATCTCATAAAATTCCGTGAGGCGATTCTAAAGAACCGGTGCGAACCGGCTGAATCCCACCATTGAATATGTCCCTTCTAATAAGCTATCGTGTTTCAGTTTCCAACAATCTACACTCACGACCCTGACCTCGTCATTAGCAACCGAACAAGGACTCGAGAGAAATATCGAACAACCCCCACGTGGTCAAGATTTAACCTAGATTATGACCGCACGAGGGAATTACATAGCTTCGATGAGGTAAGATAGCATATTCGCAGATTTTGATTTTGAGAGATATTGTTTATTGGTTATCGATCTTTAGATCGATATGTTGATATGTATTTGTTTGTCTGTCTGTTAGATGCACGCGATATCTCACGAAGGCGTGGTTGAATCTGCTCCAAATTTTGTATGTGCATTCATCCTATCTCGGACCAGAAGCTTATTGATTTTGGATGAATTATGTCGTATAATTAGCGATTTATTAATTCATTAGTGATGGGAAACAAGGTGTCACTGTGGAGTAAGAGCGCTGAGCGCTGTTTTTCCCCTAACTTTCGATCGATAAGTCGTCGGTCTCTGACCGATATTCTCGTTCCAATATTGTTCTATTTTTTAAAAATCTAATGAAAAAAGAAACAAAAAATATTCGCAGACGACCATTGTAAAACAGGAGTTTTGTTACTAACTGATTAACGTCCCTGAGTAAACTAAAATTACCTCATTTAACGACTCTGTACGATGTATTTTCTGCGTTGTATTTAAAAGTATTCAGTATTTCAATAAGCAAACGAATAGCTCGCAGAGCCTCTAGTTTTTGCTCACAGAGTCGTATTTTGTAAACACCCGGGAAATCGGAGTCCAAATTCTGATCTCCCGATTAAGAGTTGCAAATTTTTAATGACAACCGTCTAGCGTACATGTTGCAGTACTTAATCTCAATAATATTAAATATCAACTCTTCGTTTAATTTAAACCATTACTTGAACGCCTGGATGGTATGTAGACTTGAAAACCTCCATAATTAAAGTTTTCTTTCTAAACTTCGTCGAATCGAAATGTCAGAATCTGTTCACCAAAAGTCCATGCATCTGAAAAAAATAACTAATCCCATACCCGACGGACTGGTAACCGGACCGGCCGTGATTAGCCATATAATTAAACCTTCTTAACGTATTTCCCTTCCCTTAGAATAATATGGGAATCCTTTCCTTTCCTAAAATATCACCCAGGAATATCAGCATCCTTCACTTCCGCAAGTGAGCATGACCTTCCTTCTTCCGAGCATGTTCATTGAAAAACTAACGAGAGTCTCACAAAGACATACGCATACTTTTGTCGCGGTGACCGTACATTTGAACCCATGTACATTTGAACCCATGCGTATATCCACGGGTTCAATCTATATGCGGGTGCTAAAACCAATGGGTTAGGGTTAGTATGGGTTTAACTATCCGTGAAACAAAAAAAATTCCAGAGGTGCAATAGCATACAGGTGCAATTGTCATGGGTTCAAATGTACGTGGGTTCAAATGCAATGGAACCTTTTGTCGCACATCTAGATCTGTTTTGCCGAACAAGTTGACATAATCCAATATGTTTAAGCGTTCTAACTGCTACTCCTTCGGAGCGACGTCAGGAGAACACGCATGACCTAAGCGCGCTGTGATACAATATCAACCCAACTTGAAGAAATCATACGAATACATCAATTCGAGCAAATAAATTTTATTGCTATTATACGGAAAAGTATGATTGCGATGAAATTGGAACTAAATTAACGAAGAATCTCTGAACACTACAGACGGGCCTTTTGCCCGCGCACACACGATTCAATGTCTACTCCCATATAAACAACCAATCGTATTAAAGTCTTGCAACCAATTTCAATCTGAACTCACGAGTAGACATTTTTCGACTTTTAGAGGCGATAATGAGTAAAAGCGTGGTTTTTATTGAAATACGATTACAAGTAAATAAGCGCAACTGGCAGAATATCTGACCCAATTAAAATGGATTTAAGATGGCGCACAACCTGAACTCAGGGTGTGTACCAGGTTAGGGTTCAGGTTATGCGGCATCTTAGTGCGCATACTTCAGGAGCACCCTTCGACCAAACAGCAGCACACATGAACAAATAAAAAGCGTGACGGGCAGAATAACTTGCACCAAATTATGAAGATGTCATGCTGTCAGGACTCTCAACATGGTTTTATTCGCAATAATAATTAGACCCAAATAAAATGGAATCGACGTCATCTTGACGGTTAACTAAGTTTTGTTAAGGAAGCAGTGATACACCCAATTAGATCGAGAATATTTGAATAAAAATAGTATGATACATATATGCAGCTAGCTGTAAGCGCGGCATCTCTCAAATTATTAATGTAAGCCACTTTGTTACCAAGTAAATGAATCGTACATTGCGAAATATGTCCCAGGCGGAGTCCAAAATAAATTATTTTATCCTATTTTGAGCTTGTATACTTTGTAACTGCTTTCGTTCCTTCCGATACAGCATGCTTGGCCAGTTCCCCTGGTAACAATAGTCTCACAGCAGTTTGAATCTCACGACTGCTGATAGTAGCTCGCTTGTTATAACCCGCCAATCTCGAAGCTTCGCTCGCGATGCGCTCAAAGACGTCGTTTACAAATGAATTCATAATACTCATCGCTTTGGCTGAGATTCCAGTGTCCGGGTGAACTTGCTTTAAGACCTTATAGATGTAAATTGCAAAGCTTTCTTTTCGTTTCTGTCTCCTTTTTTTTGGTTCATCCTTTGGCGCTGATTTCTTTGCTAGCTTCTTGCTACCCTTCGAGGAGGCGACCATCTGGTAATAGTGAAATAGTAATTAGTTGTTTAGTAAATTGACGGACGGTCTGGAGCCTGATTTTAGCGCGAGTGGTAAACTTGATTGATCGAACTTAAAAAAACATCATCTAAAGCGCAAGCGCTATCCAAAAACTAGAAAGGGCTTGATTTAAAAACTCCGAACATTAACCGCTATCGGAAGCATTAACTGGTAACCAAATACGGCCATCTAGAAATTGTAAGAATTCACTGGCCGCTTGGTAACTGTAAAAGGTCCAAAGTAACAACCCAGAAAGAAAGAATATAGTAATATAGCAGTAATAAGCGGTTCAGGCTATTGTCTGCTTGTGAAAAACGGTGACCGTACATTTGAACCCACATACATTTGAACCCATGCGTATATCCACGGGTTCAATCTATATGCGGGTGCTAAAACCCATGGGTTAGGGTTAGTATGGGTTCAAATATCCGTAAAACAAAAAAAATTCTATAGGTGCAATTGTCGTGATTTCAAATGTACGTGGGTTCATATGTAATGGAAGCGTGAAAAACGTCCTTTGAAGTGGGTGTAAAACAGGAATATACGCAAAGCGACATCTTTTAGAATGAATTAGGATTTATCCAGCTAGGATGTGGTATAATTTGAGAACTAAAATTTCCCGCGCAATCTGTATTCTTTACCCTAACTCGGTATTTACTAATTTTCTCATTTCGAGAAATGTGGGGGGCTTTGTACAAAGACGCCGAGATCTACCATCTTCAATTCTACTCTCCTTAGGAAGGTTCGGTCTTGGCCAAACTTTCTTAATTCAGAACTTATCCAAACCTAGGATTTACAGACATGCGTTGACTGGCGTTTTTAAACGGTGACCGTACATTTGAACCCATGTGTATATCCGCGGGTTCAATCCATATGCGGGTGCTAAATCCCATGGGTTAGGGTTGGTATGGGTTCAAATATCTGTAAAACAAAAAATAATTCCATAGGTAGGTGCAATAGTATGCAGGTGCAATTGTCATGGGTTCAAATGTACGTGGGTTCAAATGTAACGGAACCATTTTTAAACGACTGTTGATGAATTGAGATACTTGTGCGTTATTATTTAAGAGGGAATAAGAGTTTCAATCATTTCTAATTCGAAATAATTTTAATGCAACATTTTTACGATTAAAAATTTTCGCCCCTGTTTGCGTCCCTGTCCGATGGTACTCATGGCACGAGCCACACCCTAGATACACCACTGCGTCATAGCAGGCATCATATACCAACAATCGTATATACAACCGTCAACACTCAAAACTAGAAAAACATACAACACACCCACCTTGTATCCTAAGTCCGTAACACAAACGTCTTAAACGAAAATAACAGCTTCCTTTTGGGGGACAGAGTTATCATTACAAATCCGTCGCGTAATAATGATGATAGACTGTGCAAAGGAACAAACAATTGTTTGTAAATATAAACAGCGACGCACTATAAGTGGACCTAGACAAATTGAGAGAGACCATTGTATTATTTAGTTTGTTCATTTCTCTATACTGATCCTTATTAATCGACATATTCCAGAGTCGATGAAATCCTATGCAATACTTGTAAGGCTGTGAAATCGTATGAGCTATAAATATCAATCAATCGAATTGTTTTTATTAGCCATTCGGGCAAACGGCCACAATAAAATGAAAGCAAAATTGAAAATATATACATATTCATGTCTTGGCCAAGAATGGACAGAATAACCGCGAAATGACCATTCGGTCTACTTGTCAGCGGCAACCTTGTAATATCAGTAATTTATGAATCGAAGTCACTACAACATGAATAAACGCCCTGTATATAAAAGCAAACCTAATACAGGCAAAACAAAATGATCTTCCAAGGTGTAGCAATAAGGGGCAAATCTGATATTTGAATTGAATATATTTAAACAATATACATATATTAATATAGACTCGCGCTTTTTACTTTTCTCGCAGACAAACCGATTTTTTACTTTTCTCACAGACAAACCAATATTCGGTTACGCTTCTTACAGATAACCTTAAAACTCGCGTTGATACTTCTTCCTTTTTCAATGAACAAACCAAAACTCGTGTTCACACTTCTTTCTTTTCTTGTAAAACCGAAACTAGAGTTCACACTTCTCACTTCTCTCACGCACAAACCAAAATTCGCGTTGACACTTCTTACTTTTTCATTGAACAAACCAAACCTTGCTCTGACACTTTTTACTTTTTCATCAAGCAAACTAAAACTCGTGTTCACACTTCTTACTCTTTTTAGACAAGCCAGAAGCATCGCGACAATTACCGCGACAAAACTGGAATCGTTCCTCGACAGAACCTGTTCGTAATTCCCGTGAAAAATGAAGAACGTTTTGCAGATTTGCCAGGAATGTAAGTGTACACTTTGTTATTCTCATATTTTTTTTTACAGAGGAGAGAACAGCCGACAGCTGCCAAGCAGTGGGGAAATCCAGGGGGGTCGGCACGGGTTCGCGAGAACGATGCTAGCGAACCCGTTCTTGTTGTCTGTTTTAGATCTGTGAAAAATCCATATCTACCAATTTTCGCGCGACCTAGCTGGCGAGAGCTTTGCATTGGGTACCTTAGAAACTAGAGTTCAGTGTAATTCCCGAATTTCGAATTTTAGAACATATCAAGCATGTGGTATTTTAAAGCAGGGGTGTGCAACCTGCAGTCCGCGGGCCAAATGAGGCCCACAAGAAAAAAGTGTTCAGCCCGTGGAGAAGCGCCAATTTCGAATGATGTGTTGCCCGCGAAACAAGTTTTATTTTTTTTAACTTGTGCGAAGCGAACAACACATGTCATAAGATGAATAACCCAATTTTTTGCGCTTGCAACTACAAGAAAAGTCTATGTTAAATAAAGGTACGCCCTGCGGTTTCACCCAGTTATATATATCTGGCCCTTCTGTATTAAAGGTTGCACACCGCTGTTCTAAAGTATGCGAGGATTGTTAGCGTAACTGTCTCTGTGACCGAACGGTTATTGTGCGTGACGCTGTATCGCGGTAGCCTGTTTAGGTCGAAAACCTCCAGTTAATAGGTTTACCCTAATTTTTTATAATTGTTTTGCTGTTTTTAGTTTTTTTGGCTGTGTTATTTTCAATTATTTTGATTTTCATTTATATTAATTTATTTTGCTTTGTTTGCACTAACACCATAGTGACGGCATAGACACGACACCAAGACCTGAGTTACGTCACAATTACACAAGAGAAATGAATCGAAAAGTTCCCGCGCCTGCTGCAGACACGCGAAATCCACAAAGACTCGACAAAAATAAACGAGTTTGCATGTTCTTTAGAGAGGGAACCCATAGTCTAGTATAAGACCTCACAAAGAAGGTCATTTACATGAAGATTTAGACCAGTAGCTCTTATCCTTTTTCGCTACACTATCCCCTTTGCCTGATTCAAGCACTTCATTGCGCCCGGTTTGTATAAAAAACATTGGGTCTAAAGGAGTACACGCCGTAAGTGCTCAAACAACGCTTAACAAATGTGATGTGAAAATAAATGCTATAGGCTAACAGCTTAAAAAACGTCAAACAAAAATATGAAGTGACTATACTGCCCAAATTTTCATTTATTTTTTCAATTAAAAGTCTGTCTCACGGGGAACGCCATAGTTACCCTATTTGGCATTGGGCATACCTGCTTAATTGAAGACTGAGTGGGTTTGATTTCACCTAGACGCGTCTGTCAAGAATTTTATTCCGTGCCACACAGATTTTTTTTCACATCGCATTTCTGTTTGGCGTTCACAGTCTTCACAATTCACTGTTCTGCAATCATTGAATGAGCAAGCAGTTTCGGCGGTAATTTCACATCACATTTTTTAGCGTTACTTAAGTTAAAGAGTTACGGTGTTTACTTCGCTGGACCCAAAGCCTTGATATAAGACCATATATTTATACCTATTTCTAATCTGCTTTTTATATGACCACTCAATAGGCTTCTGCCTATGTGGTTATTAAAATGTTGCCTTGGATCATACACCCAGCCCTATTTTTTTTTCATTGTTACAAAGCAAAGTTCTAAATATGTTTTTCAAATATTTTAGGAATTTTTTCCTTCCCTATCATGAGACACCCAACAAATCTGATCCTGAATACTAAAAAAATGGACACAATAATTCCTATTCATCGTTCGCAGTGAAGCAACGCCACTGTTCATAGCTTGATAATACATATTACGACCAGATGGACCATTACTGGCCATTTGAAAGCGCTCCAGAAGTGTGTGTACCAATATGGCGGTAACTAATTTTGTCCGCCCACTTTACATCAAGTTGTGTAAAGTGACTGAGGCTTATGGGTAGGGGATATATTCACTTGGCTAACACAGACAGTCCCCGAACTAGTAATAGAACTAAAACAAGGAAAATTGGTATCAAATTATGCCCTAACCCTAACCTGGTACACATACTACGGGAGTACCAATGTATATAACCGTAAGATGCGAGTTAAATTAACTATGCGTTGATTTGCATTGGCAATTTTTAGCTGCATTTTTGTAGAATAATAAGTAGAGGTATATAATATAGTTCCAATATGTATTTGTTTTCAACTAGTATTATTATAACAATATATTTTTATACTTTTCTTATTTTGTTGGCTCGAATAATAATCTGTCGCATTACAATTTGGACGTACAGAGCTACTTAAATTAAGTTATACACTTTCCAATTTAGCATAGTTATCAGACCGCAACACTGTCGAACATATTGAGTTTTGAACTTTAAACTATTACTAATATTTAATTCGGTTGTTAATATCCAGAGTGACCCAAAAGCAAAGTAGAGATTTATATATTATAGTTTCAATATATACTTTGTTTTTAACTGAGTATTATTAAAACAATATATATATTTTTATACTTTTTTCTTGGCTCAAATGATATTCTGCACCATTACAGTTTGGACGTACCGAGGTATTGAAATTAAATTACACACTTTTCCAATTTTGAATAGTTTTTTTTATTAGACTTTAACACTGTCAGGCTTTTTGGAGTTTTGAACACGAGGCCTTTATTCTAAGTCTGCTAATATTTAATTTAGTTATTGATAAACAGGGTGACCCAAAAACAGTATCCTAGGTCAGGGCTATTCAACTGGCGGACCGCGTTCCGAATCCGGACCTTTCGAGTACGAGATTCGGACCGCACCCAATTCTTTATTTTAGATCATAAGCCCCACTTTTGAAGTTTTCTTTTATGAAATGACTTTTATAGTTTTGAATATATATGAAAAGAACTATAATACCATAATAAGCAATTTCGATTAGCTAATAATCATTAGCCGGCCGAGAAAGTGTGCGTTTAAGGATGCCTAAATATAAATTCTGAAAAGACCGGACCCAAATAATTTTGAAGTTTTGTATGCGGATCTTCCGTAAAAATAGTTGAGTAGCCCTGTCCTAGGTCATCTGGAACATATTTCGAAGAAAATATTACTTTTGTGCAAAGCGTCCCAGACTACTGAAACTTATGGGTACAATCACACACAAACAGAAGTTCAAGTGATAAATAATATGTGAACCAAGATGGAGGACACCGGAACGTAGTATTCGTACCAGATTAGAGTTAGGCCATAATTGCATTCCAATTTTCCTTATTTTAGTTCTATTACGAGTCCGGGGACTAGCCAAGTGACTCCCATAGTACTTTATGGCCTCACCATAATCTGGTACACATAGTGCGTTTCGGTGTCCGCCATCTTGGTTCACATACTTCGGGAGTACCTAATTTTCTTCACTTCGTGGAGGTGATTAGAAATTTATGTATTCTGTTTTTGGGTCAACTTGGTACGAAAATTAACCGATTCAGGATTATATTTGCTTTGTTTTGATGATTTTCTTGCTTCAATATTGGTTTTCGCTGTTTTTTTTTTGCAGTGTATTTTGCGTTATCTTGTTTGTTTTATACTTAGACTTGCTTTCCCTAAATATGTGACGTTTGCTAACGTTTATTAATTACATTATTATTAAAAAAGTGTGCAAATTTACCGTTTTTCTTTTTGCTATTGAGTGAACTTACTAAAAATAATGTATATTACTTGAAACATATTTGAAGACTGTTTTAGGCAAAAAATATGGCGCTCCAGAAGTGTGTGTACCAATAAAGACGTAACTAATTTTGTTCGCCTACTTTACATTAAGTTATGTACAGCGACTGAAGCCTATGGACAGGAGGTATATTTACTTGGCTAACACAGACAGTCCCCGAACTCTTAATAAAACTAAAATAGGGAAAATCGGAATAAAAATATGGCCTAAACTTAACCTGGTACACACACTACAGGAGTATCAAAAATGTAAACAACGAAAACAATGCAAAATGGATAACGGGGTAGAGATATGCTTCAAGGCTTCGCTTCCGATCACACTGAAATCTGGGTTTCAAGCCCGGATCTTTAATTTTCTTGGTTGCTACATTTTAGAAATTTTGTTTTGCACATAATAAATTTATAGATTGAAATAAGAGTGTGTTGACGTGGAGTAAAGATATTTATTATCATTAGAATCGGTAGAAAGTAGAAATAAGGTTAATATTATTTTCTTGGTATCAGTTTTAAAATTTTGAGGAGTGACTGAATAACAAAACGATCGAAGAATGAATCTAAATTTGGTATTTTCTATTCGTACTTTTATATTTTCTGTACTTGAGAGAATCAAAATTGCAAACTTCCTAGAGTTTAGTCCCAAATTTCAAGCATCAAAATGTGAAATAAAAAAAAGAGGTAAATCGGAGTTTTAGAATTTTCTTGTGACTGCATGGTTGGCACAAAAGTTTAACAGGAAGTTTCTATACTAACCCAGGACTGGATTAATCATTAAACAAAAATTAGCACGGGCTTAGGAAAAAGGGCACAACAAAAAATTCAATAGGTTTTTAAATGGTGACTCAGTGTTTAGGACTTTAAGGAAATAATTCAAGTGGTCAGTCGACACAGACCTCAACAATGGCCCGGTTGATACGTATGTGAATTCCAAAAAAAGCATGCAAATTAATCGTAAGAAGCCGAAAATTATCAACGAACACCGAAACTTAATTATTTAATCACAGATGAAATGGAACACCAACTTCTTTATTATTATTGTTTATACATAGGGCACCGAAATCATAAATGTTTAGAACCTCTAAAAGGTACGATCCGGCCCTGAACGAAACCAAAATGAAAAGACTTTATTATTTTCGCATAACTTCGCCTCCGTGAAGCTACATTCTCGCAAAAGATAAAGCCACATAAGCTATCCTCACATATTGGGTCAAAAACGACTTATCAATATTATAAAATTTCATTTACACAGAATTGTAAAAGTACATACATCATTCTCACAAACGCTACTTCACAACTGGGCTGAAAAGATATCGTCTTTCTCGAAAAACTATATTCGCAGTAAAGTCGTTCCCGTGAAAGTAGGTTATAATATATCACCCTATAAATCAGCTTCAAAAATGCGGTCCCACGCCAGCCTTGATTTATGCGACAAACCGCGTCCGTCTGTCACCATTCCAGACTGATCTTGATAATTGTTGATAGCAAACTAGAGCATGATTTCAAGTACGTGCATTTCCTACCAGTAGAAAGTAGTTCAGGAATCATTTTAAATTTTATCATCTGCCACAAAGTTTTGACATTGAACGCAAATTGGCAATGTGATAGTTTACCTACTCAAAAGCGCGAATATTGTCTGTTTGTTTTCGACCAAATTCTGGCTTGCTCGCCATTGCCACAGATAGGTTTATGCTACTGTGGTTGTTAGATAAGGAATCCCAAGATTCTGGATCGGTTATTCATTGATACGACAACCGTACACTTGAAACGGCAATGAATATTAAAAACAGCAGGCATAGTCAAAAACAGCCGACTTTCAGCCCAGCGGCCGGGGAAAAAAGCGAAAACTATTTAATCTCACACCGCATGGGTGGGCGGAGTCCAGACACGGCCAAAACTGCATAAAACGAGGGTCTGGTAACTAGCATACAGAAAATACGGAAAAATATTAACACAATACAAAAACGGGTAATAAAATCCGTGACAATATCAGCCAGCCATCCACTATGGGGCATCGTCGCTAAACTAAAATTAGGGCGATGATCTGATGTTTGTCCAGTCATTATCGCGCTTGTTTAGACACGTTGCCATTGCGCGGTTAATTACCTTACATGGGTACGTAGGTGACCATACATTTGTACAACGCATGTGTATATCCGTGGGTTCAATCTATATGCGGGTGCTAAAACCCATGGGTTAGGGTTAGCATGGGTTCAAATATCCGTAAAACCAAAAAATTGCCATAGGTGCAATTATGCAGGTGCAACTATACAGGTGCAATTATCGTGGGTTCAAATGTAATGGAACCGGGTACGTATATCACATTACCGACAACACGGCTCAATCTTGTCTCCGGTATGGGGATATATATTCAAGTTTTTTTTACATATGCATTAAAGAGGAGAAACCGTAATAAACCAGCACTTCAGGAAACATCCTACGACATCAAGTAGTCCAGCAATCCTCTCGCACATAACCTTCCTTCCACGAAATTCGAACTTGCCAAAGCACGCAGAATAGTTATCAGAGATGTGATGGCGAGTGTGTGTTCCAAAAGAAAGCGATAAATGAATTGATTGCACAAAATGAACCTCATGCAGCGCCACAATCAAAAATAAAACGAACTATCTATATAAATTTATTTACAGAATGCTGGAACGTACTGGCCGGGAGAGAAACATTGACATCGACGTTCCAAAGATCACCGACGCGAGGCATCGGGTCAAGATAATGCGGCAAAGATTCGCACCAACCTCCGGCGTTCGGGATCGCTCCATGAGAGACGTATATTTCGAGTTGAGATAGAGATCTGCCGCCATCTACCGGATACAATTAGCTAAATTTTCCACCACAATATTGCACTTATACCTTTCCATACTACGCTCTTCTTTTCAATGTTATTAACTGCCAAAGTTACTCTTATTTCTTCAATGTCATAAACATGAAATTCTCATGACTGAAACCGAAATTCTTTCGAATGACGTAAGGTTATATATTTCAATAAACAAAGTCACACATTATGAGAATCCACGCATAGAGAGCTACAAATATTCAACCTCATCCCCTTTTATCAACGTAACAGTCTTCTTATCATTTTAATAAATCTCTCAGAACACTGCGACGTTTTTTTTTTGATGCCGCAGGTTTTTGCCAGTTAACAGTTCATTTCGTTGTTCTGCAAAGATCGTGATCCAAGGCACGTGCACCCCGCATTATTTTGAGAGTTTTGGTCAGAACGAGAATGCCAGAAATAATATATTTGGCTGACAAACATCCTGGATTCTCCACCCCACAGCTCTAACTCTAAGTTTTCTTTCTACTTTGACGAATCACTAGCGACTTTAATAAGCCATATATTTCATTTTATAGAAAATTGACACGAAAATAAATTTTTTAAAGACAAATTTGTGTAATATTTATTTATATTAACTAAGGCATGGGTGAATAGAATTATAATTCAAAAAATTGAAGTTTTACGGCTTCCTCTATACTCATGTCTATGCATCGAGAACCATAAACTACTGGACTATTTCAACACCTGACACGTACATGTGACCAAATGAGAATTTGTGACTTTGATAAGTATGCCATCTTATTATATATCGTAGTATATTGGAGCCATTTCAATTAGTCTGTCAGTCACTACTATCTATACCAGGGCTACTCAACTATTTTTATCGAAGGTCCGCAAACAAAACTTCAAAATTATTTGGGTCCGGTCTTTCCAGAAATGATATTTCGGCATCCTTAAACGAGCACTTCCTCGACCGACTAATGATTAGTAGCAAATTAAAATTGTTTATCATGGTGTTATAGTTTTTTTCGTATATATTCAAAACTATGAAAGTCATTTTATAATAGGAAATTCAAAAAGTTGGGCTATTGATCCAAAATAAAAAATTAGGTGCGGTCCAAATCCAATACTCGAAAGGTCCGGATTCGGACCGCGGTCCGCCAGTTCAGTAGCCCTGATCTATACCACCAAAGGTGCAACATTTTTGTTCATGGGCCATATAATCAACCGCAGAAATATAAGCATTCTAATATCTACTTCTTTGGAGTCGGCGTCCCAACAACACGCGCTTGGCCCAATCCAACTTACAAAACAAATAAATTCGAGCAAATAAACTTTATTGCTATTACAGAAAAGAATGATTGTGATATAATGGGATCTAAATTATCGCAGAATCTTTGGACGCTACACAAAATGGACGAGGCCACCCGCCAACACACTACTCACAAATAAAACACCAGTCTCATTAAAAGTCTTGCAACCAACTTCGTTCCGAAATCTCGAGCAGTAATCTCTGGCTTTTAATAACGATAATGAGTCAAAATGTGTGGTTTTTATTCAAATACGATTACAAGTATATAAGTGTGACTGGCAGAATAGTCGGACCCAAATAAAATGGATTGAATGCTGTCTGCCATTTCAACCTGGATTTGCACAAGCACGGGCAAAACGACATGGATTGATAAACAACCAAGCACTTAGACTCGTTTTCTGAATATCAAACTCGTTTTCTGAATATCAAACTCAAGTATAATTGAACTAACAACAAGCGTGACGGGCAGAATAACTTGCACAAAATTATAAGGATGCAATGCTGTCAGGACGTTCAACAGGGTTTTACGCGCAATAAAAATTTGATCTAAATAAAATTGAAACGATGCCATCTTGTCGGTTAACCAAGTTTTGTTAGGAATGCCATGATATAAACCAATTAAGATAACAAATATTTGATTAAAATAGTATGCTTCTTAAATGCAGTTAGTTGTAGGCGTGATATTTCCAGATTATTTATAAAGCATTGTTACTAAATAAATGAGTCGTACATTGCGAAATATGTCCCAGGCGGAGTTCAAAATAAATTATCTTATCCTATTTCGAGCTTGTATACTTTGTAACTGCTTTCGTTCCTTCCGATACGGCATGCTTGGCCAGTTCCCCTGGTAACAATAGTCTCACAGCAGTCTGAATCTCACGACTGCTGATAGTAGATCTCTTATTATAACCCGCCAATCTTGAAGCTTCACTGGCGATACGCTCGAAGACGTCGTTTACGAATGAATCCATAATACTCATCGCTTTGGCTGAGATTCCAGTGTCCGGGTGAACCTGCTTTAAGACTTTATAGATGTAAATTCCAAAGCTTTCTTTACGTTTTTTTCTTCTCTTTTTTGGTCCATCCTTTGGAGCTGCTTTTTTCGCTAGCTTCTTGCTGCCCTTTGAAGACGCGACCATCTAGAATTGATAAATGGTAATTAGTAGTGGTGTCCAAGTGCAATAATTTAGGACTCTGTTGTGAATCCTCAAAACTGGTTTGGTTTGGTCATAGCCTAAACTTCTGAATTCAGAACTTAACCCAGGATTAACAGAAAGACTTCAGCAGCGTATCTGCGTAGAATGGCGCCCATTGCAAAGTCCAAAAACACGCGCCTTGATCGTTGACTGACGACTGTTGTTGGGAGAGAGAGAGAGGGGGAGTGAGACCCATTGTTTCGTTAACCAGGAAACAATCAATGATACAACAAAATATATACATAATATACAAGTTAATATGGCATAGACTGGGGGAGAGCGATACGACCATAAGGTCATCAGAGATACTTGATGTTATTATTCAAGTAAGAATAAAGAGTTCCAGGTATTTCCAATTTGAAATTATTTTATTGCAATATTTAAACGATTTAATTTTTTTGCCCTATTTGCGTCCCAGTCCAAACGTAGCTCAGTACGAGCCATGACTGCCACACCCCAGATACGCTTCTACGCTGTAGTAGCCAACATATACCAACAACCGTATATACAACTGTAAACGCAAACTCAAAACTAGAAAAACTACACCACACCCACCTTGTATCCTAAGTCCGTAACACAAACGATTTGAAACTAAAGTAAACTGCATGAAGCCTGACATCAGTTTCATTTACTGGGATAGACCTATCATTACTAACACGTGGCGTAATAATGATGATAGACTTACGCAATGAAATGAGGATTTGTTTGTCAATATAGACAGACGTTGAGTGACTGGAATAGTTTGAACACGATGATTGTTTTATTCAATACCTACTATCTGACCCCAAAGTTATTCCTTTTGTAATCAGCTTGCCGGTTCGCTCGACCCGTAGGATAGTTGTAGCTAATATACATCTGTAATTTTTTCCGCGTGGCTTGTTTTTTTACATAAATTACGTAACATATGCTAGTTAAAAAAATGCAATTTTTTTGAAGTATTACATTATTGTGTTCGGCTTATGTGAACTACTTGTATTGTCTAGAAAATTTTTTCAGTCTGGTGCACATAATCCTGGCAATTAAAAGTGCCATACTTTAACTTACCATAATAATAAATATAATTCAATTCGTTTGTTACCGCAAACCAGTGATTTTAAACCTTTTCGGTAGAGCGGAACCCACATCAGATTTGTGAGCCTACATAGAAAATAAATAACCAATGAATATACAGGGTGTCCGTAAAGACCCTTCACAATTTCAATTTTGTTATGAAGTCAGTTCCTAGGTTTTTATTTTTTTATTCAGTAATTGTTTAAGTATTTTTACTACATTTATTACATCTGTGAGGACCAAAACAATATATTGTATCGACAATTCCTATTCCAAGACTCTATGGACACCCAATGTATATAAAACCAAACCTAATACTGAGTAAAACAAAATTATCTTTAACGGTAGCAAAGTTTATAAATAGTGGCAAATCTAATAGATAATCGATTGTATTTGAACAATGTTCATATTTTAATATAGACCCACGGTTTTCACTTTTTCACGGCTACGCTTTTTACTTTTCCTATAGATAACCCCAAAACTCGCGTTCTCACTTTTATCACAGACAACCCGAAATTTGCGTTGACACTTCCTACTTTTTTATTGGATGAAACAAAACTCGTGTGTTCAATCTTCTTACTTTTCTCATAAACAAACCGAAACTCGCATTCAGGCTTCCCACTTTTTTCGCGGACAAACCAAAATTCGCGTTGACACTTCTTACTTTTTTATCAAGCAAACCGGAACTCGTGTTCATGCTTCTTACTTTTTCATCGAGCAAACCAGAACTCGTGTTCACGCTTTTTACTTTCAGATTCAGATAATTTATTTCCATCATGCAAGAATCAACACAAAAATTAAAGCACGAAAAAATGACAAACGTGTATAATGACAATCGTAAAAATGTAATTATACACATAAGAATTCATACAAGTGAGAGATTCATAGCAATAGATGAGGAGTTGCGAAAGACTGTGACAGTCATCAAGTCAGCGACACCTGTGGGTTGAAGTTTAAGAGGGAATGACAAAAATATTATACAAATTTAATCAATCAATATTAACAGAACAACAAAATCAGAACATATCACCAGAGTAATAATACACGCGACAGCGCCCTTATGGGGTGCAGCTGTGCGTTCATGGACCGTAACAGAAGTTTTAGAGGGAATGACAGGAAAATTATATAAATTTAATCAATCAAAATTAGCAGAAAAACAAATTATCACCAGAGTAATAATACACGCGACAGTGCCCTCGTGGGGTTCAACTGTGCGTTCATGGACCGTAACAAAAAATGAATGAAGCTCGTTGCCAACTTTTCTCATAGACTAACCAAAACTCGTGTTCTTTTCTCATAGACTAACCAAAACTCGTGTTCTTTTCTCATAGACAACCCAAAACTCGTGTTTACACTTTTCAATAATCAAGCTAAAACTCGTGTTCACGCTTCTTACACGCTTCTTTTAGACAAGCCAGAAGCATCGCGACAATTACCGCGACAAAACTGGAATCGTTCCTCGACAGACCTTGTTCCTCATTCCAGTGAAAAATGAAGAACGTTTTGCCGATTTGCCTGGAATGTAAGTGTGCACTTTGTTATTTTTATATTTTTTCCAGAAGATAGAACAGCCGCCAGCTGCCAAGCAGTGAGTAAATCCAGGGGGGTCAGCACGGGTTCGCGAGAACGATGCTAGCGAACCCGTTCTTGTTGTTTGTTTTGATCTGTGGTCGGTGAACTTTGGGATGCGGTCCAATCGTAGGCCACCAAGCATATTTCAGTAGGCTTTAAATAAACTTCAACCATGGCAGTGAAACACAAAAATGTTTTATAAATCCATCATTGGAATTACTCGCAAATACCAGATTAAACTAAACATATTTTGGACCTCCTGAAGTATGCGAGCGCACAAAGATGGCGCACAACCTGAACTCTGGTTGTTTACCAGGTTAGGGTTCAGGTTATGCAACATCTTGGTGCGCATACTTCAAGAGTACAAATTTTAAACTTGTTTTGCGAGCCGCACATCATTCAAAATTGGCACTAACCCGTGCGGGCGCACAATTTTTCCGTGCGGCCGCAGGTTGCACACCGCTGTCCTAGAGTACGCCAGGATCGTCAGCGCAATGGTCTCTGTGACCGAACAGTTGGTTATTGTTTGTGGCGATGGCATGTTCAGGGCGAAAAACCTCCAGTATCCTAAATAAGTTTACCTTAATTTTTTTAAATTTGTTCTGCTGTTTTTACTTTCTTTGCTGCAACGTTTTCTTTTGATGCCGCAGGTTTTTGTCAGTTAACAGTTCATTTCGTTGTTCTGATCGTGAGATTTCGTTGAAAGATCGTGATCCAAGGCAGATGCAACCCCCATTATTTTGATAGTTTTGGACAGAATGAGAATGCCAGAATTAATATTTTTGGCTGACAAACATTCTGGATTCTCCACCCCACAGCTCTAACTATGCTTTCTTTCCACTTACTAGCGATTTCAAATTACTAGCGAATTTTAGAAGCCATATATTTCATTTTATAGAAAATTGATACAAAAATATATTTCATGAAGACAACATTGTGCACTATTTATTATATTAACTAAGGCGAAAGATTTAACTCAGGGACATGAGCCAAAAAACATCATGTAATTTTACCGACTTTTTCCTTTCGGATTCAGATTTTTCGCCTGGTGGGGGAAAATCTGAGTGTTGAAAAGGGCCACACCAAATGGCTTAGCGGGCCAGGTGGTGGCCCGGCACCTGTTGCACACCATTGATCTATAAACATATCCAACGAAATTTCACGATTGGTAATTCAAATGGATACGCTCTGTCTACGAAAGGCTATTTTTGTATAAAAACATTCAAACTAAGCCTTCTTTAACTAAAAGATTCAGAACATTCTCAGTCAGACCTTGCAAAGCAAAAGTTGGAACATTAGAAGGGTGATAAAGACAAAACAATTGGTGCGGGCCACGTCGCAATGCAAACGCCTTATGAGAGTCTAGACACGTATAATGTGCTTTTGCATAGATTCTGTTAGGTGGCGCTAGTTTCCTTGATAAGTCTAATTTTTCTGAGTCGGTTTCGACAGTCTCTGGGAGAGGAAACGTTGTTCCGACGACCTCTGAGTAGAAATCCCGGAGCGCTTGTGGAATTTCATCCTGTGAAAACAAGTAGAATAGGATTGTTTATTCTCTGGAGAGGGAAGCTGGTGAAACTGCTCGTTATTTAATAAGTATAAGTTTATTTCGACTCCATAATCAGCAATAGACGATAATAATAGATAAAAACAAAAATAAAAGTAACTGAATATAGAACCAGGAGAGCGAACAAAACCTAGAGTAAGGTTTGAAACGTACAGATTTTAGATGGAAAGGTATTGATAAAATCGTTGGTATTGGAAAAGGATGAATAAGTGCCTCACAGATTTAAATACTCCGAAGGGGTATGTGCAAGAGGATTGCTGGGTTTCTCAAATTGATGGCACATGTCAATGGTGAAGAGCTTCTTAGCTATATACCGCTAATTGGATACGATTGAGCAGATACTCTTAATAGAGAGGAAATACAATGTGATAATACATCTTACTAGTATTACAAAATGGGGGTAATCTGGGTATACTGCGTGGCTCCCAGATTTAACTCTGATGGGATAATCATGTGCAATAGGCTGGGTTTCTCAATTTCGTTTGATGGCTCCTGTTAATGGTGAAGAGCTTATTACCCATACCGTTAATTGGATAGGATTGAGCTGATATTCCTAAAAACGGTGAAAGATTCTCAAGAGATAAATATGTGTGATTGGGTTTCTGGATTAGTAAATTTAATTGATTGTTCATGTAACTGTTTAAGATCATCTTCCATATTTCAATTTCATTCATCAAACTATCTGTCTGTCTAGGTAAGTGTATATTTGACCCAACTGGTAACAAGACATATGGGGTGCAACTACAAGCCACTTAACCATGCCGAGTCATCATTATTACACAATAAAGTTAAGAGTTCTATAAGACGCCATAAGCAACGAATCAAATACGGATAAATACGAATCAAATTTACACTAAAACTTGCACTAGGGATTGGAAGCCGAGACTGGAGTCAGAGCCATGGAGTTGTGACATTTCGATGGAGTTCGAGGCAAGCTTAGCATAATAGATGAAGCTGAGGCTACCAGGAATTTTAGTGGTTAACTGTGGCTCCGGAGCTGTGGTTAACTGTGGCTCCGGAGCTAAAGTCATTGTAATTTATAACAGACTCCCAGCTTTACTTTTTATCTTGCGTTCAACATTATTTCAAATATCAGAGTATGACTTGATAACAACATTTAATGCTTCTTCTCCGATGCAGAAATACTTTGAACACAACATTGATATGAAAATAACATATGCTGCTAAAAAAGATCACAGCTCTTCATTTCTTACCTGTTTTATCATGACGTCATCAGTCGGTGCTAACTTCTTATCAACTGTTCCATCAGGTTTTATAAGTGGTGTGAGAGAAGGAACACACTGGCATGACTCTCTAGAAAAATTAGGAAACTTAAATTTTGAAATGTGGACATTATGGTTCAATACCTTTACGATACTGAAAAAGTAACTTATTAAACTCATTCGCTCTAAACCACTGGTTCTCAACCTGTGGGCCATGGCCCACTGCTGGGCCATAGAGTCTTTTCAAGTGGGCCACAATCCTATCAAAAATTACCATTATTATTGGAAAATTTAGTTTCTTTTGTGTCACTATAGTCAAATTTTTATTGTAGTAGCAATGAATGATGCTGCTACTTTTCATTCTAATTATAATGTGAAAGTATTTATTTTGGCAAAAATAGTCTTGTTTTTCTTGTAGTTTTTCCTTTGCATGAGAAAGTTAGTGGGCCACAGAATTTTTTACGCAGCGAAAGCGGGCCACGAAAGAATGAAGGTTGGGAACCACTGCTCTAAACAAATCTTTGAACAAGCTATATCTGAAGTGAGCAAGGTTTTTGGACCAGGGGCCGAAAATTTCGCCCACCTAGACTGACGGGCCATGTAGATGTGACGTAAAAATTTATATTTTATTAACAATATTTACAGTGTTACAAAAGCAAAATAGGAAAACAATAAGCCTTGTTCCAAAACTAAATCCAATCACAATCTCAACAAATTTCCTTGAACTATATTTTAGATAAACATCAAAATTTAGTTTTAGTCTGGTTGTGGCAGCATCAGGCAGGCCGGATTGAATTACTCAACGGACCGTATATGTCAGATCTGTGGACAATTTTTTGAGGGGGAGAGAGACTAATTAAAAAAAAAATATTTGATAGAATTGATCATGCTCGCCTTACTTCGGATTTTTACATTTCAAAACTTCTCATTTATTTCATTATTCTCGTTCACGTGTTCTCAGCGTATTTTTTGAATAAAACATATTTTCACCTTACTATCTGTTATTTGTAGCTTATTGTTAGCTGGGTATTTTTGAGGTTGGCCGCGAGACTTAACAAAAGGGGCGGGACTTGAAAAGTTTGAGAACCAATGGGTGGTCAGAGCATTCAAGCAATTAACCAATCAGTTGATGGATTCTAGGAATAAGCAGTATTTCATGTTTCCTTGATAAAATTCTCACCTATTAATGAGTAAGAAAGCAAGCAATCCAGCTGGCATTTGATTGGTCAGATTAGGTGGAAAACCAGTCATGCATGACTGCACACATTTCTGTAAAGTATCAACTCCTGGATACCAGAATCTGCAAAAAAAGAAAATCAGATTTGCACAATGAACACAATATTTTGTTTGGTGCAGTGGCGCAGCCAGGATTTTCAAAAAGGAGTTGAGGGGTTTCGAAATCAGAACAAAAAATTTGAAAACCAATGCCCCAGATCCGTGTTTTCCTGAGTTGCGACCCAAAACTGGGACACCTGGAAATCTTCTTAGGTCGCTTGTTTTTTCAACAAGCTTAAAAGTTACTGGTTTTATATTTTAGGAAATTGTATTATTTATTCTATATTTGGCGTTATGATATAGCTCACTATATCACAATGTAAAATCTTGGCAACATCTATTTCCTTTAAATAAAGCCTTTGTGTCCCCACCACAATTTCGAAAACGCGTTAACGGCAAACGAGTGCAACTATGAATTAATCCCTGTTTTGAATCAGTCAATAATCAGTAATTTATTTTTTCACCAAACAGAAAAGAACACTTCATGCAAATAAATATATAAAAGGAACTTAAATACGGCATTTCAGGGCGAAATCGCGAGAAACCAAAACTGGTTAACGAGCAGTGACACCCATGAATTAGTCTAACAGAAATATAAAACAGAAGAGAGAAAGAAGTCAAACATTATATCATGAGGAAAAAAAGACAGCAAAAGTCAAACCAAATACGTACAACACTAGACTCCGAGCACTGTCAGTAATGTAACCATGGGAACGACATTTCGAAGATATGGCCGCACAGAGTACGGTGCCGGTAACAATTAAAATTTGCTATGTAAGAATGACTGTTTTATATTATTTATTTAATTCTGTAATTTTGCAACCATGAAAGCACTACACACCGTTTGGTATGTGAGTATATCCTTCGGTTAAGATTTTACAAAACTTATTTTCAAAATATTTGAGTCGCTTGAAAATAACCATTGAAAAAACAGATTACCTTTGTACAAGCCTATTTTGGACTTCCATTAGAGATGGTTCAGGCCCACAGAGAACACACGCCCTCACCCCGCCCTCTCCAAGCCCACGAGTAGCTCCTGCTGATATGAGAGTAAACAAGAGCAATCTATGAGGTATGTTAGGGCTGCTATGAGGCAGATATACAGGAATGTCACAGGATGTTGCATTTGGTGATAGAACACTGATAAGCTAAAAAATATAGAGACTATGTTAATATGAAGATTACTGATTACGAGATTTACAAAGCAGGAAATTAGATTTTTTTAACAATAGTGTGCTGCTATGACAGAAATCTACAACAGCCATTGGCAAGTAGGTGGTTCTCAACCAGAGGCAAAGTTGTCATGTGTTAGTTAGATGTAAGTTCAGAAAGAAAGAAATTCACAATTCTCTGCAACTACATCACCATGGGTGTAATAAATTAGTTTGACAACACCCAATGAAGATTCCGGCATCTGATTTCTTTGCATATTGTTAGATATTATTGGCTGCTTGTACAGGGCTTTTTCAGAGCAAAAGGCTTGAATAGGCCTTGTATAAATGAAGATAAAAAATAATCATACCCGTCCAAGTAATGCCAGTTCAAGTCCTGTGAGCATCCACCATTTCTCTGTAGCGCAGACAACTCTTCCTCCGGCCACTAGACAACCATAGGTACTGTCTGCAGCTTCAACGAATGCATTCAAGTGCTCCTGAGCAGATAAAAATGATTGAATGTCAAAAACGCTAGTGTGCCAGTAATAAGACATTTGTTCACAAAACTTGCTCAATAAAATCATATGTACTCCATCAAAAGTCAAAGAAGCTTTCATCTCCGATAAGCATTGAGATCATCAGTGGCTCTGTTTGAAGAGTTCTTGGAGAAATCGCTCAAGGTCACACACACTCACGCAAAACCATAATGGGTTTCAAGCAAAAATACAGGCAAACAAGGATATTTTTGGGGAAAATTGTTATGATTATGCATGCATACACTCACTCAGAAGTAGCTGACATGAAACTAATCTCAAGGCAATTGATGAACCAAAGGCCAATGCTATATAGACCAGTGAGTACTGAAACCGCACCATAGGACGGCTAAATCATATGACGAATCATAGCTTCTCGTCCAGTTACAAGCCCATGTCGGATATGAGATTAGTTGATCAGTTATTTGTTTCGGCGCTCCGGAAGTATTCATACCAAGATGATGCACAACCTGAACAACTCTAACCTGGTACACATACTATGTTAAGGTTGTGCGCCATCTTGGTACGAATACTTCGGGAGCACCGTTGTTTCAGATGTAGACTTGTGTTGGTGAAACCCATAAATGACCAGCGATTACGTGAACCACTCTACGGCAAGTAAGGACTCCAGCTACTTTGGCTTTTCTGTGCCGACATGGTCTTACCTGCAGCATTGGGGCTTCATTGCACAGCACCATGTCCACACATTGAGTGAAGTCACCAAACAAATGTGAATCTCCAGAATCAGGACCTATAAAGTATCATAAATTGTCGTTGAAAATTTCATTAACTTCGGCATTTACTTGGCGATGAAATAATGCAGTTAAGTAGGATTTACAGTTCAATGCGCAGAATGTCATTGACCTCAATGGCAATAAGTTTAGTTGTCTATGTTAGTTCAAGATTTATTGGCAACCAAAGCCTTTGTATTAATTGAGATTAGATATTTTGGATTCAATTTGAATAATTTAGATTAGTATGATAGGATAGTAATCGGTAAATTAATCTTAATTGCCAAGGCCTGACAATAAACAATTCTCACCTTTCTTTAAGAATGAGTCGATCAGCTTATACGAAGCTCTTAAGTCCCTCTTCAGTCTTTCTATGTTATTGTGATTGCATAGTTCATCAAGGCCTGAAACAATATCAGTTTGCGATTAGGAAGTCATATTTATAGAGATAAGACGACGGGATCAAGAATGCGAATTCCTAACACTTAGCACGATGCGCCACACTACCGAGCAGAGATATACTCGATAAGAAGGGCATCAAGAATGCCCAGTTCTGTCTGGAAACACGCTACGTCAGTTCAATACAGTAATACTGAGTGGGAAGAGATTTGAAATTATGTTCAGACGACTTTGAAAAGGTGGAATGTGGCAGAAAAATATTATATCAGAATAAAAGCAGAAAAAAAGCTTCCTCTTAGACATAGTACTTATTCTAGGGAGTGACGCATAAGAGATCGGAAAACTGACAATAGTGCTCAGATATATGAAGAACCTGATGACGCATAATGCATCCCTCTAAATCTTAGTAGTTTCAATAAAACCTGGCATTTTAGTATAGACTATAATTTTGGACAAACATGTGTTTCCCTCACTACTTGGTGAGTGTATGAGATTTACATTTTTATAAGACGCTTATGAGTGACTTTTGCTCTAAACAAGACCATATACAAGCAGCCAGTGGCATTGCTCACCCAATTCAATACACCCTGGGTGTGCGAGCGCGCATCGGATTAAATTTAGAGATTTATCAACAAGGCCAGCGGTTCCCAAACTTTTTGTTCTTGCAGCACCAAGTTATCAGGGAAAACTCATGACCGCTTACACAAAAAAAAATTGCTGCTTTCAAGTAGTACTCAGTTTTGTGATCTTTAATGTGTATTTTATGCTTTTCGAATTTTGTAAACATGTAGAATAAAGGCAATGTCACCCAACTTCCATCAAATTATCTTGGAACAAAAATCTGGTGGTTCATTTAAAACAAAAGGGCCACATACTGCTACCAAACAATTTTACCTGTTAGCAAAACCAGTGAATGGAACACGTTATCTAAGATCCTCAGTAAATGAGCATCAGAAATTGTAGCCTCTCTTATTTCGGACGATTCCTTCTTCTTGTCTATTCTATCTGTATCTTTCTTCGACTTCTGATTTGGCACCAATGCTATGAGAACTATGCTATCTGAAAAATAAAAATGCAATTCTAAAATACAATTTTGACCCAGCAGTTGGCACACTAAACTCATCATTAGGACCACGCTTACTATCGCACAGTTGATCACACTGCATAAGTTCCAAGGTTTGAACCCTGTGAAGGATAATTGTGTGTGGGGGAATTGCTGGACCTGTCGCAATTTAAGGGGGTTCATATAACTGCTAGTCAGTTACGGCTTCTTCTTTCATAAAGTCCATGCATTTCAAAGAAATAAATAGCTAACTAATCCCGGTGCTCCCGAAGTATGCGAACCAAGATGGCGGACATCGGAACGTAACATTGGTAACAGGTTAGGGTTAGGCGATAATTTTTTTCCAATTTTCCTTATTTTAGTCCTATTATCAGTTTGAAGACTAGCCAAGAGCCTCCCGTAGTATTTATACCTAAAATTATGGCCTAACCCTAACCTAGTACACATATTACATTCCGATGTCCGCCATCTTGGTTTGCATACTTCGGGAGCCCCCCATACCCACCATGAACTGGTAACTGGATGAGAGGTTGTGATTCACCAAATTATTAAGCCGTCTAATTTACTTTACTCCTTCAGGATAAATATCCTATCCTATGAATGTCATAACAGGGATGTCCAAACCGATTCGTGATTTAAATTATCAATTTTAAGAATGCTTAAGAAGTAAATTGATGTTTTATGAGTTTCTGTACAAAATTTCGTTTCCAGGCAATTAATAATTTAGATTCTGAACATCTGTATGGCCCAGCGAAAACATGCCACACTTAGACCAGTAAGGCACAGTTCTCTAATTCCAAGATGTTCCGACATTTGGCTTAATAAAACAAGCACTGTATTATTTTCTGAATTGAGGGCGTCTGATACAACAAAAGATGTGTCAGATTGTGTTATGTTTGTCTTGATAATATTCTAAATTACGTTGACGATGACTATTTTTAGATTGCGCTTCTTTTTAGTTTATTGCGCAAATCCGGTTTGTCGGTTTATGCTGAAACGAGGCCCATACTGTCTCGTAAAAGAGGGGTTAGCATAAACTGTTATTATTGATATCTTTTAATGTGGGGGATATGCTTTGAATCGGAAAACTGTGCCGTACTGTAGACTTTGGCCTCAGAGAAGTATTTATAGGGTCGAAATAAACTTACTTTTCGATATTTGCTCAAACCTTTAATTTTCTTACCTTGATACATTTTCCATACAATCTTATGATCTGTGGTCAACGTACTAACAAGAGTAACATCACGATTTTGTGCAAATAGGTGAACCCCATTCAGAGATGCCATCACAGGAAATGATAATGGTGGAGAACCTAGAGAATATAAATTCGATATTATAGTTACTGATGAATGAAATTTGGTTTAAGGAGATAGTGGGATTTATTGTTTCCTAAACCGGTAAAACAAGCATTTTAACAATAAAACTTTACAACATACTGCAGTACTGACATACACAAAATTTATCAGTATCGATTGGGTGAGCAACACGGCCGTCAGAGTTCGTTTTATATTACTGTATTAGAATACAGGAATATGATCAATTTATCCTGTGGAAGAGCAAAAACCATATCAGCATACCGTATGGCGAACCACTGCCTCTTGTACAATTGGCATATTGGTAAAATTTACAGCCTGACAGCATATATTTGTCTGTCTTGATATGGATACCTTAGTTACACCCGACTTGATATCCAAGAAACCACAGATCTCTTAATCTGGGTACTTCTGTACTTGTACAGGTACCTACGGTACGAGTACCGGTACCGGTACCGTACTTTACCATGGGGTACAGGGGTACGGTACCGGTATTGCTGTGTACTGGTACCGGTACCCTAGCTAGCCTATCGGGGATTGAAAAAAGGGATCTCACCTTGCTTTGATCTTGTGAAGAGTGGTAGTCCTCCAGTTGCAGTCACACATATGATATGCTCAGCCATGATATATATTTAACAGACTCAGTCTGAGACTGTCAGTAGTTTACAGATACAACCAGTACCGTCACCTGGTAATTGTTAAGTTATGAAAAAGACACCGTTCGGGACGGCTAAGATTTTCAAAATCCGAAGCTCTTTGGTGTTTTTCCCCGAAGTTTTTTTTTTTTTTTTTGCCAAATAGAATTCCAGTGCCAATATGAAATTCAATTATTTATAAAATTTTTGTCCAGATGAAAGTGAAATAATAGTATTTCTGTGTATTTCCAATTTTGGTTACAGTAATTGTACAGAAGTGACTATTCCACAAAAGAACTGGTTATATTCACTTTGGTTTTCCCTAACTGGGCCGTTAGTTGTGAAAAGCAGCTGGAAACTGGGTAACCGATATCCGGATAATCTAACGACACAGTTCGTGCTTATTTTATTCTTCTTCTATACATGTTCGAGTGTGTGAGCATAGTTACCTCATAATGATGGTGTGAGATTGATATACTAGCACATGCATTTCGGCATGTTTTGAGGATAGGATTTACATATTTACACATACGAAAGCCGATAAAACGGCTTTACCATATGGCGAACCAAGCGGCCTGGCGAACCACGGCCCCTTCACATTCTGACATTTGCATGCGCATGTTTCCTTTTTTTATCAATGTTGGGTTTCTGATGTTCCACATGCATGAACTTTGTTTTCTATTTGGGTGGGGTGATTCCTTTGTGAGGGTTGTAGACGGTATAATTTAACTCCTGTACCTAATATTGTAATTAGTTGACCAGTCGAGGTATATTTGGATTCTCCCCTACATTTTAACATGCTGTAGTACTAGGGGAAGGTGGGGCACGTTGGGACATGGGGCACAGTGGAAAATCAGTTTTCACACTGATACTATATCCGCAATCCTGTCCGCGGTTCGATGTTTCAATCCGCCCTTCGGTGAGTTACAACGGCACCGCGAACGGACAACGGACGGGTAGAGCGGCGCAAGCTATTAGGTGAAATTGGTTTTGGGAAGTTGAAACTAAAATTTCGCCGTTCCATTTTTTTCTACTTCAGCCTTTTCAACATGACAAACCACCTTCTGGTATTTTTCAGCTTTAGTTCACTGTAAAATATTCATAACGTTGGCGAGTAGATGTGCCTTCCGAATTTCGCCGTGGGATGGTCTGAAAATATTTGTTTCCTATGGGGAACAATGGACCGGGGTTCAGTGGGACATGCCCTACAGGGCACAATTCGAGAGTGTTTGATACAATAGGTGCTTAGAGACCTAGAGATGCGTTAAACTTTGTGTAATATTATGGTTTCTTTCGACCCATGGCCCAATATGGAATATATTCGAGAATCAATAATATTTCCAGATTTAGATTCGAGGACGGTAATATCCAAATTTGTTCGCGAAATTTTTTGTCAAAATATCTGAACTGTTTCAGTTGAACATTGATTCTAAAAAAACTAAATCTTCAAAATTAAAATCTCCCTGTTCTTTAGGCGATTATGCTGATTAATTGCTTATTTTTAAAGGCATACTTCGTTGAATTTTGACAGACGGACCCATTGTGCCCAAGAATCTGTCCGAATGTGCCCCACAAGTGGGGTACAGTGGGACACTTGACAGAAAATTTTCAAAGCATTTTGGTAGTGAGATGTGTGTCGCAAAGAACTTTCTTAGTTGCTGAATAAAAACTACATTTACCCCACCATGCATCAGTCCCGCCAACTCAAGTGAATATGCAGAACTAACGGCTCAAAATATGCAAAAGAAAAAAAGTGTCCCAACCTTCCCCACTTTCTCCTATATGCTGTGTCCTGCGTGTATACAAAGATTTTATCCTTGGTCAAATTTTTGCTGTGTATAGCATGCAAATGTGTAATGGTTAGTGTGATGTTAATGACTATGATAATGACCAACATGTGTGTGGGTTTGACCGACATCGAAAGGTTTTTGCATGGTTTGTGAACAATTTCTCTTGTGATTCAACCACAATATCTTCTTTCTCAGGTTTTCAACTAGCAGTCTAATGATATTTAATTACTATTAATCAATATTTACACAATTCAACAACTTCCACTCAAAGGTGTAGAGTAGTTTTCTATTGATTCCAGTGGCGGCGCGTGGTCATTTTGACAACCGGGGCAAGCTACTGCGGGACCAAGTCACCCCCATCTACGGAGACAGGATGAGCGCTGTAAGTTCTCCCATCATTTTATGAGTATAAAAACCATTCCATCGGCAACCAATCGGCAAAAGCGACAATTTTTAACGATAAGAAAGTGTCTTTAAAACCGGTCCAAGTCAAGGGATTAATAAATATAGACATAGTTTATTTTGAAACCTCTTTCAAAAGGAAAGGCAATATTTACCCAGATAAATACAATGACATATTAACAGAAACTTCGGGAAAGCAGACAAAACCTAAAATAAGGTTTAAAACGTTACTATGAAGAAAGGAAAGTTATGCAAAGATAAGGACATGCGTCGCTCACTCATAGATATA